TCTGATGTCGGCGGTCTGACAGCAGGGCGGGGCGCGCCGGGAGGACAATGCTTACATGCCGCTTAAGACGGGGTAATAAGACAGAAGAGCAGGGCCGCCCGGCGAAGAGGCTACGAACCGGCTGTCAGCCACTCACTGGTGATGTCGTAGACGACGACGGCGGACCGTGGAGTCACGTATGTAGGAAGGGATAATGGCTGCGGAGGAGGCAGCGCTCCTGGCCGGCCGCTTGTCCCACAGCTGCAGTCTCACCTGGGCGGCGAGCGCGACGGATCACCACTGGGCTCACGGCGCTCAGAGACCGGCCCGCCCACAGACAGTCAGACAGGACACCATGCTAACGTAAACACCCGCCCGCGCCGACCACGGCCCAGCGGAGGGCGCACAGGCGAAAAGGTGATGACGGTCAGGCGTGTGGCCAGAGGGTGACCCCACACCAGCTGCCTCCGCGCCGCCGGGTCAGCCCGGCTGGACGGCGCGTGGCGCCGGTCTGCCAGGACCAATGTGTGACGGCGGCACGGCACCGCGCCCCGACAGCGCACGCCACCAGCCGCACGACACGACAGGGCAGCATCCTAACGTTAAGACGCTATTTTACGTGCCAAAATCCTGAGAAACATTTGCAAAATGTTTGCATGATCTTGGCTCCTCCAAATCGTTACATAATTATCACGCGCGTACAGTGGGTCGTACCGCGAATGCACAGCGGACTGAAAGACACTCACCGTTCGATCCTCCAAATACATCGTTTTTGAAAGGAAGTCAATGCCTATGGTGGCCTGCAAATAGAGCGATACCCGTCAGAGGAGGTCAAAGAACACCGGCTAGTATGGGTATGTTTCCTGTAATGGAATGCTTGCCTATGGCTTTATTTCAGTTGCAAAAGCCAGGGCCTTATTCGAAACACAACCCTGTCCATTACATTCGCACCTTGAAAATTCAGTTACTAACGCAGCAACGTGGGCCGTTTTCAAGACTTGTAGAGGGAAATGAGCACCTAATGAAGGCAAACCGCTGCGAGTCTAATGTTACAAAGCAAACCACTTGAGGTCGTCACTTTATGAGCATGCTACAAACGTCCTCTACGCACCCAACGTTGTAATGTTTTCATGTCATATCTTGACAAAACGACAGTAAAACTGCCAACGTTCTAATGTTTTTATGTGATATATTAACAAAATGACAGTAAAACTAAAACTATCATTTCTACACACGATACGCCCATCAATGAGCTATTAATTTTGGCATCTAATAAACAGCATTGCCTAAACTGATATTCAGACCGTACGCCGTCGCATGAACACGCATTTTAACATATATTTCGAGCAGATGAAGGCATTTCTACAATAAAGAAATGTTGCTACCATCGGACTTACGTATATCGTCCCGATCTATCCGTTCCTGAAACTAACTTGATTCTTAGAAAAGAAACGCAAAATTTGGTACAAAAGTGTGGTAACACATCCTGCCTTTTTAATCAGATCTATTATTGATTACAAAATGTCAGGTTCTAAGTGCTATCTCCAACAAAGTCTGGCAGCATGGGCCCCGATTTTACAAACACTAGTGGCCCGTTTTGAGCCAAATTTTCGAGTAAGGGAACAAAAAGTGAGAACGCCTGGTGATTACAAAACATTGTATCACTTACAATTCCTCTGTTTACGTTGTTTACAAAAATGAGTGCATGACCGTCAAAAAGAAATGGAGGGCCAAAACAGGACAAAGATGGTACCAGCCGTAAATGGCTCATGTCAATACCTGATATGTGTTGTCAAAGCTGTCATACATGAACCTTGTGATGAGAGACGTCTTCCCGACTGAAAAATGGCAGGCATGGTCAAAGAAGCCCATTGGGCATAACCACAAAAACATCCGAGCTTGATTCAGCTAGCAAATCAAATGTTATAGAGTGGTTGCCGGGTGAACGGACAGCAATGGAAGCACAAAGCACCCATTTGGCAACAATTCTGCATGGATAAGTAAATGGGAGCAAAGTACATCTACATCACAATATGACCAAAGATGATTATTACCAGCTGTCAATAAAAGACAAAAGGGCACCATATCACACACACACACACACACACCCACACCCGCCCACGCCCACGCCCACGCCCACGCCCACGCCCACGCCCACGCCCACGCCCACGCCCACGCCCACGCCCACGCCCCGCGCACGCGCACGCGCACGCGCACGCGCACGCGCACACGCACACGCACATGCATGCAACTCATACACAGTGTGAAAAACATGACTTTAAACCATGCACACTAAGATTTGGGAAACACGCTACCTCCTTGTCCAACACAAAAACTATGATAAACATGCAATGAAAATCCCTGACCTAGGAGGTGTGTATATGCATGTCTAGGGTTTTATATTTATTGAACAGCAAAGCCTTGAGTAATGGGCTTTGCTGTTTTTAGATGACATGGATGAATGCTAAAACTGTGCACACATCACAAAAATCAGTACAGGATTAGTACTTGACTTCTGATCTAGCTGTGATTAACCACAAAATTAGTCAAACTTTCAATGGCTTGCATGCAAATGGTGCAATGTTTCCACTGACAAATAAGTAAGTTAAGATCATGCATCATCTGACTATATCAGTTGGAATCATTGACAAATCAATTGGAATTTGAGTATATCTCAAATCTGATATTTCCATTCAGCTGCTCACATGGGCAGCAAATGGAACACCACAGAACTGCAAATTGTTGCATTCTTGACAATATTAACACAAATGAGCTACACTAGCCTGATGTTGTTAAATAAATATCATTTCCTAATCTACTGCATTGAGAAATGAATCAACTGGATGACATTACCACTTCAGTTGCAGCTTGGAAATATATTCAAGCTTGTTGGTTTATATGGCATATTTGTAGTCATAACTTGCATAATAAATGCTTCTATAATGCAGTGCCATTTCAAATAGCTCTAAAATCTTAACATGACATTCACTAATGTAGAGCAATACATTCTTCAGTTTTATGCTTGTTCCTGCATTAATCAAAATAATACTGATCTTGATGTGTAGCAAGCCAAACAACTATAACTTGGAGAAACATGGGTGTAATTGTAAACCTGACAACATACATACTTGGAAAATTAATCAAAAGTTGACCTGGCCACAGTTTGGTCACCAAATGTTTCAAGTTCAGTGCACCACATAATTAAAGTATCTTACATAGTGGATTGACTTGTAATACACTGTGCTGCACATGGGTCCTACCTAAAGGTGAGACTGGAAACAAAATGAGCTATAGGACATGAAGCATATATTCAAAGAAATGGTGCATAAAAATATGTGCAAAAACATGCCTGAATATACAAGGCACAATGGTGACATTGCAGCAACAATTTCAGTGCATGTATGTCATAAACCTGAGCACATATCAGAGAAGAGTTCAATGCAATGCCACCACCAATTTCAGCATGGGCAGCTAGTATTTCAAGGCATTGCAATGCTGCAAAGGTAATTTTAAGTTGGGCTGCAAAAATAAATGTCATGCCAAACATGTTGGCATAACAGAAAATTGTGGTGACAATTTTGGCACATCTGCATTGTGAATACAGGACCTCAGAATTTGGTGCATGGCGTGAAGCAATTTCAATGCATGAAAAACCAATATTCGTAAGGACATTTACCATAACTTCTCAAGGTTCAGTGTGCATTAATGTTTGGTATTCCCTTAGGGTAGCAGATAAACTTATTGCTGATTGGACCTTTCTCAGAAAATATTTATTTTCAGAAATTGTTTGAAAATTTGGCATTGCACTCTCATCTGGCATGTCTGAACAAAAGCTTTGGCATCAGCGAGTGCATACCCCACTTGAACAGAGCATTAAATTGTCTTAGACTGGCTGTAAGGTAATGCTATGAATAAAAATAGAGAGCGCAAGCACTTTGCCAGAATGATATGTGGCAAACACACATTTAAAGGCAAAATATGGCTCTTGATGACTAATCAAGTGTTCAGATGCATTCCATATGCATGCTTCAATCTCAACTGCAGTACTTACCGCTCTGTTCACCAAGAAAGACAAGCTTGAATTTCCGAAGGGGGTTCCCGAAGTCACCGGAAGTAGACATGCTTCAGGTGTTGTCTAATGAACTCGGAGCAATATCTTAATAGTGATATGAGCGAGCAGACGCAACTGTCAGGGATGGGCGGAGCAGATGAAACACTTGGAAAACAGAACACTTTTGAGGCCTTCCCCTGCCCTTTACCATCCAAATTATTGCCAGCCGATTTCAGCAGATAGAACACTCCGTCTACCTTGCTGCCTGGTCAAGTGCACTCAATACCTTACTTCTCCACCCTAAAACTCAGCCGGAGAATTCGCGCAACCCCAAGTCACACCCAAAAACAAACACCGGCGAAAACGCAGCACCCAATGTCTCTGGGTTTTCCTTATCCCAGTAGCTGCCAGATCGCCACGTTCTTGATGATGCTGTGACGGTCAAATGTTTCACCTGTCCCAAAAAATAAATTGAGTATTAGGGTTTATTTTTTAGCTTTTGTGGTTTCATTGCGATATAAAATGACAAATATTCGGTTCAGTTATACTTTAGTATACAAAAAAGTGGAAAAATGCCGAATCATATTTTCTTCCCCTACTTTTCCTTCACGAAGTGCATGATATTTTTTCTTGCGTAGGACAATATATGGTAGCAGTGGAACCGTAAGAACAGCATGGCAAGACTACAATGATATTTTTGGCGTATTAATATTTATTTACATTAAAAGAACATTATGTAAAAAAACTGTACAACATAGACGTTATTTAAGTTTTATCTAGCTTTATATAAATATTTCTACCTAAAACCATCTATTTCTTCTGTAATAATCTTCAACTTATTAATGAAACGTCATCAAAATGGGGGTCAATATAGGAATGGTAAAAACCTTGACAACAGCTGACAATGACCGTCTAAGTGGCGCACATACAGAGCACACTTAATCGTGAGCAAGCTTTAAAGACCTGTATGCAAAACAACTCATTGACAGTTTTTATGGTCGGTGATTGGGTGGTCTGTTAGTCAAGAAAATGGAAGAATGTGATTAGCATTTGATAAAGAGGCTTGCTGGTGATCAACTTGGAAACCTGTTGCGGGAAAAATGATTTTTTGACGGACTTTGACATTACGTTTACCGTTATGTTTGTGTCCACGGACGGGCAATGTATTGTTGAGCCTTGGAAAGCGTACTACTTAGTATAAAATAGAAAACATCAGATGGCATTTGTTATCAATTGTGAAGACAAGCCGCTGCGCAAGTCGAGACTCGGACCCGCCTGATGTGTATCCCCAAGAGCCAAAGCAAAAAGAGGTGAGACCTGAATGCTGGGTTTGAAATGTTATGGAAGACAAGAGGGAAAAAATAGCTCATAGCCTTAACCCATGATTTTCGAAATATTCTTTAAAAGGAGGCTGCAGAGGCATTATGGATTAGGCTGTTTTCTGGGTGCTGGCTTTCACAGATGATAAGTCTTTACCATTGGTCAGTCAACCAGTCAGATAATAAGAGCTTGTTTGTTCTAGCTAGTTTGGTTCAATAAGTACAAAATGCACCAGGAAACCCATATTTTCATTATTGCAATGTTAAGGGTTAGGAAATGTTTCTTGTTTGTGCATAACAAGTAGTGCTGTTTGTTATGAAGTGAGGGGGAGGGGGAGGGGTAGAGGGTGGACTTTTTATTGCAAGATAAATTTGTAGCATACAAAAGACAGATACTGTATAAACACAGTTTGGAGGCCGTTTGTAACACACATGATTGGAACGTTTAAGGAGGCTGCTTGAATCTGTCTGACCTGTTACGCTGTGGGGAAATAGTTATTTCCTCAACTGCATCCTAACATGACGTTGGGAGGGACGGCATAATAACCGTCTCAAATTTTTCCAGAATGATTTCTAAACAGCATGGCACAGCAGGTCAAAATTTTACATAGCTTTAGGCAATTGAAAATCAGATTATTTGGTATCAAAATTTTGATATACCTTGTAAGTTTGCTGACCTTCAGCAGGTCAAAGTCAGGCCATGGACTCAGCAAAGTCAATTTCTAGGAAACTTCAACGTGATGCAACATTGAAGTATTAGACAAACCTTCAGTGCAGGTATGCATTGGTACCTAATGTTAGAAAAGCATTGTACATTATTTGTCATATTTAAGGCAGAACATATAGTAAATAATCATAAAACAGGTAGATTCATACTCCTACTTTCAAATTTTATTAACTACGATAGCGAGCTCAGGAGCGCCGCATGCACCCCACTGCCTCAACTCCCCAGCGCTGTTTCTGTGTTGCCATTGTGTAATTACAATATTTCTGCTCATCAAGAACTATAAAAAATGTATGGGCCAAGGTAACAATAATAATGCAATGAAAAATGGTTTTTTATTGTGTCTAGGTATGTTGATGAAATGGACAGGCCAGAATAGTCCAGAACATAGCCTAAACTAGCCTAACCCAACCTAACCTAACCAAACCTAATCTAACCTAACCTAGCCTAGCCTAACCTAGCCTAACCTAGCCTAACTTAACCTAGCCTAGCCTAGCCTAGTCTACCCTAACAACCTAACCTAACCTTGCACAATCTAACCTGACCTGACCTAACCTAACCTAACCTAACCTAACCTAACCTAACCTAACCTAACCTAACCTAACCTAACCTAACCTAACCTAACCTAACCTAACCTAACCCCCCACCCTATCCCTTTAACCCAGTGTCCCATTGGCATCTATCTTCCATGTCATATATGTGTACCATATTAAGAAGTTTTGTTTAGCTGCCATATTCTCATTTTGCTTTTCATTCCCACCAAAAACATCATATTTCCCCACCATGTCGACCAATCTGCAAACAATATGGAAGGCTGCCTGGATATGTAAGAAACATATTTTATTGAATTCTTTTTACCTTGGCCTCGTAATTTTTATGGTTCTTGATGTGCAGCAATGTTGTGATCACGCAGTAATGCTGTGATCACACAGTAATGTTGTGATCACGCGTAACAATGGTGCCGGGGTCGCGGTTGCTGCTTGTTTGCGGCGCTCGGATGTTCGCTGTCGTAGTTATTGAAGTTCCAAGGTAAGAGTTTAGATGACCTGTTTTACGATTAGTTACCATATGTTCTGCCCTAAAAACGACGATTGATGTACAGTGCTCTTTTTTAACATGAGGTAGCAATGCATACCCTGACCCAGGTATGAAGGTCAGACAAAGGCCAAAACCAACCTGTTATGTTACTGCAGGGCTCCCAGTATGGGGTAGTATTTGGTGATCATTTTGAATTGATTGATAACAAGCATCACATTATGCATCTGCTATGGGCTTATTAAAGATCAGAATAGGTCACGGACCTGGCCTAGAATGACCCAGGTAAGCATGTTGTTTTTCATGAGCACACTACCTAGCACAATCTTCATAGATTATTAAAATGCAAAACTCAAAGCAGTCTGTATGAATTTGGCCGCTGTGACCTTCAAAGGGTCAAACAAGGTCAGTGGCCTTTAATGAGCATTTGAACATTTTCTTAGAACTGGTGTCTAGGTTCTGGGGCACCAGGGAGACTAATGTGGAGTTTGACCTTGTTTGACTGTGTTTGATGCAAAGGTCATGACCTAGAAATCTCACATTTTGACTGGTGATTGATGTGCATGCCAACACGTCCTATGTATTTTGTGTCTCTAGCTCTCCTGGTGCATGAGATCTCAACAAAGTCAAATTGACCCCACCCCACCCGGGTAAACGGTATCTGACGGGAAAGCCAGGCACATGTCAAAAAGTATTCAGGTGCATGGGAAATGAAGCACATTGAAAGAGCTGTCAAATACATGTACCAGGTTGTTGTCTCTGCATGGGAGCTGATGTATTTAGGAGTGGTATCTGGGATCCACATATGGGTGAAATGGGAGGTGTACAAATGAGTGACAGTGTCAGCAGTGTCCAGACATCCCAGATCAAGGCTGGTGTGCATGGACCAACCCAACATATGAGCGTGACCCCCCTTCCTCACATGTTTGAGGTCATACCGCGACCAGCCACAGAGCACAGCATCAGCATGTGGGGACCACCCAGCTGTGCAGACCAGAGGTGACTACCTGGGGTCAGCATCGGCCGGCAGTGGTTGGGGCAGGTGGGCCGCCTGACTTGCTGGGGTCAGCAGCAGCCCGCAGTGAACTGAACGAGCGAGGCGGGCTGGTCATGTGACTGAGCGTCACCCCGCACAGGTGTACATGGCCAGTCGGTCAGTTAAGCTCTACCTCAAAAGCTGAGCTGCGAAAGGTCTTATCTTCCGCCCAGATACTGATGGTGATATTCTGCGGTGTTAGGAATGTAGCTGTATCCCCCTAAAATAATAAACTTCCTCCCATGGGCGAGCCACCAGTTTGGTACAGGATATCAGGACGTTGTGCTGGCTGCGAGTGGCCCGGTAGGCGCGGCCTGCTTGCCCTACACTGTCGCGGCGCCAGGGCGACACGGCTTCTGTGCACCAGTTCCTGCTAACGTGCAGATCGCTCCCGGCCCTGACGACTTCGTCGCGCCGACGATGACCTTACACGACAGTCTACACTGAGTAGTGTCAGGCTGCGAAAAGGATCAGAAGGGGCTCCCTCAGCTTGCGAACACAGAATGGCTAGAACGTTTTTGTTTCTCACGGGATTGTTGCCCCTAAACACTTAGAAGCCAAGCTCGATGCGCTCTGGACAAATATCTTCTCATACAACATTTGGCGCCAGGGCTAGCGCGGTGGGACAAATGAGGATCCTGTGTGTACTGTTTTTCATACATCACAGGTCAGTTTTGGGTTACAAATAATTTGAAATGCTGTGGCATATATATATATATATATATATATATATATATATATATATATATATATACGCACGCACGCACGCACGCACAATAACAGCTCTCATGACTTTCAGGATGAGCTCACTGCAGTCAGTGTCAAGCAAGGCTTCAATGCATCGCCCATCACTCCCGATGAATATGGCTCAGCCAAAAGCCTCAACATCAACACCAGCAAGGTAAGCAGCGTGCAGTTGAAGTCCCGTGCGTGGCATAACACACCACGTTATATTTTATGCTGTGGACGTTTTGCCGCAGCTCCATCAACTTTGCCAATGAACCAATCAACAAGGCAGTTGTTAGCTGAAATTATCAGTGCTCGACACGACAATTACACCATGTTTTGCTCTATAGTGCAGATGTGTACTTGCAGCTCCATTAAGTTTTGTCAAATGTTTGCTATAATCAATTAGTTGGTGCGCATCTGTGTTGTTAGATCTTAGTTTTAAATTATTTGGTTTACTTCAAGATCAGTTGTTATATTGAAAATGATATGGCTGTGCTGCTAGTAAGACACTAGTTTTGGATGCTGCATCACACAACTGTCGACTCGCAGTGCTCCTAACAATGGCACCTAGCGTTGGTAATGGTGTGATAAAGTGGGATTCCACTTAGTGTAAGATTCGTCATAGCATAAGGCTAGGCATAATTATTAGGTTTAAGGCGAGCCTGCAATGCCACTTGACAACATCCTCGCGCGCTGCTTCATGTCCGACACCTAAACGGCGGGCGTCGTCCTCCCCAGATGTTGGAGAACTTCTCCGCCGTGCTCTCCAAGAAATACGAAATCAATACGCTGCCGGAGACGGGCAAAAAGAAGCAGCAGATTTCGCACCGGGACAACTACTGGCCGGTACCGACACGGCCCAAGGCGGCCGAGGTCTGGCTCAAGGACCTGGTTGGTAACAAGCCGTTGACCATGTTGGCCAAAAAGGTGCCCATCTTCAACAAGAAGGACGAGATCCTGAGCAAGCTGTGCGACTACTCGGTACCGACGGTGCGCGCCTGCTGGCTCATCAAGATGTCCTCAGCGTATTACGTGGCCATCTCCGAGACCAAGAACAAGTCGAAGCGCCAGCTGCCCGACCAGACGCAGGAGTGGACGCTGACGCTGGAGCGCTTCCTGAAGGAGCAGCTGACGCGGCTGGAGGAGCACTACTCGTGGACGCCGCAGGTGGGCGTCTTCCCGGCGATGAGCGGCAGCTCGACTGAGGAGCAGAAGGTGGCTGCCCGCCACTGGCAGTACGGCACGCAGCTGGCTGGCGTCATGTACGAGCAGGGCCTGCTCGACCGTGAGCCTTTCCTTGAGTGGGTGCTGGACGTGTTCCGCGCGCGCGCGCACGACGACGGCCTGCTGAAGCTGGTGGTACCGCTGTTGCTGCAGTATGTCGGCGAGTTCACGCGCTCCGAGCTGCTGGCACGTAAGCTCGCCTACTACGCTTGCAAGAAGCTGAATCAGATGGTGGCCGAGATGGACGCGTCGGGTGGGCGAGGCCAGAGCCCGGTGTTCGGCCAGGGCGGCCAAGAGGCGGGCGCCCCGCCGCCGCCCGCCCAGCCCGTGCACAGCAACCCGCTGGTGGCTGCCTTCATCAGGCTTGTCAACTGCAACTTCTACGAGAGCATCGTGTACGGCTTGGGCTCGGTCCTGCAGATGATCTTGTATAAGAACCCGACTGCGCTGGTGTGGAACAACCTGGGAGACGGCAAGTCGTCGCCGCTGAGCAGCTCGCCACTGGGCGGCTCGCCGCTGGACCTGCTGCCCTGCCTGCCGTCCGGCCTGCCGCTGCCGCCGAGCGCCAGCAACGGCGAGTGGCGGACGCGCCTGCGCCGCGTAGAGGACGACGTGCTGGAGCGGAGTCGCGCCTCGGACCTGCGCTGGTCCGTGCAGACGTCCACAGAGCTGACCGTGGGCCGCGTGCTGGCTGCGCTCGACGCGCTCGACCAGCACAAGTGGCACCGCACCGACGACACCAACAACTTCGACACGCTGTACGCGCGCGTGTTCCCGCCGGCGGGCCGCGATGGCGCCGACGGCCGGCCGTCGGACGACGCGCTGGTGCAACTGCTCTGCGAATGGGCCGTCTCGCCGCAGCGGCTGGGCGAGCACCGCGCGCCGGCCGTCGCCATGCTACTGGAGAAGCGGCAGGCCGAGCTGACGGCCGCCGACGGCGACGGCGACGACCGCGAGTCGGTCTGTTCCGGCTCCTATCCGGCCTACGTCTACCAGAGCCTGCTGTTCCGCTTCCTGGACACGAGCGCGCCGGTGCTGGACGACGCCATGGGGCTGGGCGGTCGCAGTCGGCAGTCCTTTGCCAGCCTGGTGCTGCTGTTCCTCGAGCTGACGCGGCACGACGTGTTCTCGCACGACCAGTACCTGCGCGCGCTGATCTCACGCGGCGAGCTGCGCACCAACCCGGCCAGTCCGGCCCAGTCGGCCGCCGCCTTCACGCGCTCCGAGCACCACGACGCCGACGACGACAAGCTCGACATCGACGACGACCTCGACAAGCTGGTGCAGCACATCAAGTCGACCAACGCTGACATGGACAATCCGGACAGCCCGAAGGAGGGCTTCTCGCTGGGCACCGGGCACACCGAGAAGCTGGAGGCCCGCCGCCAAAACCGCCACCTCATCTACACGACCCACTTCCCTCTGCCGCAAGGTGAGTAGAGCATCCGTGGATCGGCACGTCTCATGTCACTGGCTGATGCGCGCGGTGACCCCAGACTGTATCGAGCTGAGATGTGCCTGTGGATTTGAGGATTGAAACTACTTGGTGCAGCACACCTACAGTTGTCTTCAGTCGCAGGGTACCTACAGGCGATGCAAGCAATGCCGTTGACACGTCTTTCGCGAACAGATTGTTTATCAAGCGTGGAAAGAAATTAAGTCATCGTGTTGGCGTTATAAGGTTCCATGGCACAAAGCACAACTCTTGCAAAAGCATGTCACTCCGTGGTCGCTGATGCAATCATTTCGAACTGCATTTAGTCATGGTGTGCAACCTCGTGGCCTGATTTTGCTGGTATGCTCAAGATCCTGTTTACCACGCGTCTTGTGACATGAGAGCTCTCCCGACAGGACGATGCCTACACCGACGACGACAAGCAGCGGCACATCCTGCTCTTCGGCGTGAAGAAGGCTCGTGATGAGGCGCGCCACGCCGTCAAGAAGATGAACAAGGAGATCATGAAGCTGTTCGGCAAGAAACTTTCGATCGACGTGTCGGAGGGCGGCAAAGTAAAACGCCAGAGCCGCGGCGAGTTTCCGTTCGAGCCGGTGGTGCAGCGCTTCCAGGCGCTATCCTTCTACGATCAGCACCAGGTGACGCACCAGTGCGCGCTCCAGGTGGTCGAGATGCTGAGCGCCTTCGCGGCCGGCAACTCCAGCTACCTGCCGGTGGTGGAGCACGTCTCCTTCCTCTTCGACCTAATGGAGCTGGCGGTGAACATCCGCGAGCTGCTGGACTGCTGCCAGCAGATGCTGCGCGAGCTGCCGGACGTGGAGGGCCAGTTGCACAGCAAGAACTCGGCGCGCGCTGGCACGTACGCCACCTCGCTGGCGCTGCACATCGTGGGCGCCTGCCGCCGCTACCACAGGACCCTCATTTGTGAGCAGGAGGGAGCGCTTACGGACGGGCCGACTGGGCTGGGTCTTGGAGCTGGTGTGGGCACAGTGGCTCAAGGTTCATCACACTCAGTAGCGTCTGATGGGATATTGATTGGCAGGCGTCAGCGCAAAATGGCTAGCGGCCGGCGTGTCATAAAACGCCAGTTATCATCATCATAACAATATATTTGCTATGAGCGAACGATGCGGTCTGATTACGTGTACTCTGTCTGATGTTTTTGAAATGTCTACACCTTTTACACCTACACCTACTCCTACACTTACACCTACACCTACACCTACACCTACACCTACACCTACACCTACACGTACACCTATACCTACACCTTGGATGTAATTATTGGATGAGCGAAATTCGCGGCTGAGTCTACAAAGACATAAATTGTGCGTCCTTTTGCTCCGTCCGAGGCTGGCATGTCTTACAACCTTACCGCAGCGTTGATGTAGTTACCGACCCTCTGCTGTGCCCGACAGTGTCGCAGGACCACACGGCGGCCATCTTCGAGGGTCTCTGCAAGGTTGTGAAACACGTGCGCAACCACACCGACTGCTCCTCGGCCGAGCGCTGCGTGCTCGCCCACCTGGTCAATCTCTACAGCAGCTGTAGCTTCCTGCGCTCCAAGCACTACGAGGCACGCTTCGAAAGCTTCAGCAACGCTTACCTGAAGCTGAAGCAGCTGTTCAACACATCGCTGAAGCCGAGCGGTTCCTCCTTCAGCCGCAACGCCGCCTTCATGGCGGAGTATGTGTCGTGCCCGACGCGGCCCATTGAGCCGGCCGCCGTGCGCGCGCTCAACGAAAGCGGCGCCAACCGCTACAGCTTCGTCTGCAATGTGGTGATCGAGGTGTGCAACACGGCCGACAGTGAGCGGCTCAGCGACCTGGCCGTACTGGCGGCCGAGGCCACCGCCCGCTGCAACGCCCTCTCGCCGGAGTGGCTCGGTGAGTGGCACCCCGTCGCCGGGGTGGCTCGGTGAGTGGCACCCCGTCGCCGGAGTGGCTCGGTGAGTGGCACCCCGTCGCCGGGGTGGCTCGGTGAGTAGCACCCCGTCGCTGGAGTGGCTCGGTGAGTGGCACCCCGTCGCCGGGTTGGCTCGGTTGACGCCTCAGATGCCTTCTCGCTGAGGTGGTTTGGTGGTTGGCCCCGCAGCCGGCTGGTGTCGGAGGCTGCGCCGGCACCGCGGTCGTGGGGGGGGGTTATTGGGAGGTGGCCGCGACAGATCAGCGACGCCCCGCATTCGCACGAAATCGATGAGTCCTGAGGACATGGTGTTGGACGGCGAGGGTCGTCCCCGGCTGGCGGGCCGCATGAGCCGTACGAAGGCCGCGACCGCCAGGGGAGGCTGTCCGCTCTCCGGCCCCGGGCGCCGGGCTCTCCGCTGCGCCCCTCCGGTCCCTGGGCTCTCGCGTGGCGCCATTACACCCACTCATGGGCGCCCCGGCCGCCGCCCCACACTTTCCGCATCTACCTCCAGCGTTTGCCATGCCGCCGTACCCTGTCGTGTGCCTCCGTGCGATGACCGTGACCGTGGCATGGCGCGGGCCGGCGCTGTGCCGTGCCGTGACCGTCTTTGTCGGGCCGGCGCCAGGTGTGCTGGATGCGGCGTGTGGCGGCTCGGACAGCTGGCTGGACGTGCTGACGGCCGTGGACATGACGGCGCCGGCCACCCACCGCAGCGTCGCCCTTTTCATGACTGTGCTGGCCGCCCGACACTGCATCTACATGGACGACGTGATCCAGTTCGGCGCCCACTGCCTCCTCACAGGCAGTGAGTGGGGGAGGGGGATGGAGGCTGGCTTCAGTCGTCGGGACGTTGCTTATGGATGGGCGGAGCGCACACGAGTGTGATCGGAGACTGGATGCGGGGATGTTACTTCCAGTAATGTCAGACATGGCGCAACGTATCGTGAGTTCGTTGTCTTGAGCTAGACGTGTGCATGTGACGCCCAGCGCGGCCGACTGTGGTTGGCGCTGAGTGGTGATGTCCGCGCCGCAGGCAAGGGCGACCGCGAGCGCGAGCCGGGCGCACGGCTCGTGCTGCGGCTGCTCGGCCACCTGTGGATCCCGTCCGAGCAGCCGCAGCCCACCTGGTACGACACCGGTGAGTGAGCCGAGTCGCCGCTGTTACCGCCGCGCTCCGGGCACACCGACAGTCCGGACGACACCGACACCCGCCTCTGTGTGTGCCCTCTCCCGACTGGTGTGCTCCTCCCGTTTGCGGATGTGGTCGGCCGGCTCATCGGCTGGTGTGCTCCTCCCGTTTGCGGATGTGGTCGGCCGGCTCATCGGCTGGTGTGCTCCTCCCGTTTGCGGATGTGGTCGGCCGGCTCATCGGCTGGTGTGCTCCTCCCGTTTGCAAATGTAGTCGGCCGGCTCATGGGCTGGTGTGCTCCCCCCGTTTGCAGACGCGGTCGGCCGGCTCATCGGCTGGCCGTCGGCCACCCTTGGTCTTGAAAGTTGTATGCCTATCATCCATATTCAGAAGTGTACGGGAAAGCTCGTTTGCTTTTGCTGGTCTGTAGATGTTGTCTGGTAAATTCACAAGGTACTCTTTACAAGCCAAAAATAGTCGGTCATCTCAAATCGTGGTGACCATTTATCAAATCGGAGGTGTTTGGAGTATTGCTTAATTTTCGATTTGAATTCATTTGGTAGATTTGATCTTGTTGTCATCAAATACCAGACTAACACAAATACACGGGATCTGCGCAACAGTAAAAACTTACACTATTGTTCGTCTTTTGAGGGTGCGAAGACGGGGGTAAGCAAAGGCGGCAGCAGTTGCCACAGGCCAGTATTTGCTGATCCCGCCGGCAGCCCGCTTACCCAGGGTTCGAGTCGTGCAACACGGCTGACAGCCAGCGGTCGCCCATTTCGGAAAAAAATGTCGCTCATTTTCATGTGTAATGCTTCTTTAACAAGAATTTGAGATATGGGCACGGGATCACCAGGCGTCCATCATACGGGACATGGTGGTTGAGCTGCATCTCACGTGGGTCGTGCGTGGCCAGGCTCGAGCACGTCCGTCCCCTCTGCTGGCCAGCCGTGCAGTCTCAAGTACAGCTGTGATCGCCACCTCCTGCTGGCAGCGCAGGACAACATTCCTGTGCAGGCTCTGCTCTGCGCCCTCAAGGTCGGCTCCTGGGAAACAACCCAGCAACTATGGCTTTAGTAAAGTACATCGTGGTTTGCATTTTAACATATTTTAACTTAGCATGCATTGAGAAATATTTTAAAGTAAAAAAATGAGCATTACGTGCACAGCATTGCAAGCAGACATCGTGCATAGCTACATACATGTATATATATATATATATATATATATATATATATATATATATATATATATATATAGTGAGGTGCACCAGGCTGGCCGAAGCATGCGCTGACCGGGCGCTGAGCCGGCCGGTGCACGTGCTGCCCGGGCGCCGAGCCGGCCGGTGCACGCGCTGACCGGGCGCCGAGCCAGTCGGTGCACGCGCTGACCGGGCGCCGAGCCAGCCGCTGCTTGACCTGACCGAGGTGGGGCGGTGCGCAGACCATCATCATCCTGGCGGACGCCACGATCGGCGACGGCGTCGGGAGGACGGAGAGCAAGACGGGCGGCGGCGAACTCAGCATCAGCGCCATCCTGGGCACCTCTGACCATCACGGCGAGCCAAACGAGCACGGGTACGGCAGGTGGTCCTCGCGCCTTGTCAACTGTACAGCAGCCGGGCCTAACGCGTAGTCCTTCATCCCCCCCCCCTGCCAGGAGCGCAGGTGCAGCAGCCGGCCCTCACACCCTCCCTCCCTGCCACGAGCACAGGTGCGGCAGCCGGCCCTCACACCTTGTTCTTCATCTTCCCCCTCCTTCCCTGCCACGAGCATGGGTGCGGCAGCCGGCCCTCGCACCTTGTCCTTCATCTCCCCCCCCCCTTCCTCCTCCGTGTCACGATCACGAGTTACCACTTCCTTCCATTGCCTCTGCTCACTTATCATCATCTCACTGATTGGTAGGAGGTCGAGCTCCATGTGCCTCTGGTTTGTCTGGGGTACGGCATGTCGCCAGCTGAGTGAGTGGAGTCGTGATGTCTGGTCAATGGCTCCTCTCCTGTGCCTCTGGTTTGTCTGGAGCACGGCATGTCGCCAGCTGAGTGAGTGGAGTCGTGATGTCTGGTCAATGGCTCCTCTCCTGTGCCTCTGGTTTGTCTGCGGCACGGCATGTCGCCAGCTGAGTGAGTGGAGTCGTGATGTCTGGTCGATGGCTCCTCTCCTGTGCCTCTGGTTTGTCTGGAGCACGGCATATCGCCAGCTGAGTGAGTGGAGTCGCGATGTCTGGTCGATGGCTCCTCTCCCACTCATGCAACTTGTCTCCTACTCCACCTCCCACTCATCTCTCACAGCTTCATTCGCTCCGTTCCCCTGCCCCGCTTCACGATAAGGCGAAGCTGGGCCGTGTGGTTAACACGTCTGATGCTGATCGGTGATGCGGCTTACGGTGTGTGATGTCAACGGCAGAGGTCCCGCAGGTAGAGGTCGGGACCGGGCCTGGGCCAGGCCGGCCTCTCCGAGTGTACAGTCCGTCTCGGTGTCGGAGCGTGAGCCCGTGCCCTCGGCGGTGTCCCGCCGGACACCACTGGGAGCGAGTTGTGAGTCCCTGTCCGATGCCCATCACCGCACAGCCGGTTCGGGCCAGACCTGAGCAAGGCCGGCCTCTCCGAGTGTACAGTCCATCTCGGTGTCGGAGTGTGAGCCCGTGCCCTCGGCGGTGCCCCGCCGGACACCATTGGGAGCGAGGTGTGAGTCCCTGTCCGATGCCCATCACCCCACAGGCGGTCCGGGCCGGGCCTGAGCAAGGCTGGCCTCTCCGAGTTCGCGCGCCACATGCTGAAGCAGATCTGCAGCCAGTCGTGGGTGCGCGAGAAGTTCCTCAGCTCGCCAGAGGAGATCGTCTCCATGGAGAAGGCCAACTCACCCGACGAGGTTGATGTCGACCTGCTGGATCGCGAGATGTCGCCCAAGCAGGTGTGTTCGCCCGACGGCGGCGTCCGCCCAGCTCCGGCTACCGCTGCCTATCGGAGGCCGTAGAATAACGCCCGCCGTGCGGCATTCATAACCACTGCAGTCTTCCGTGACACACAGCGCCTGCAGCCACCAGAGACGTCCACATCAGCCTGCACGGTCAAGAGCCTGCACAGTCGTTAGCCTGTTCTGTCACCAGCCTGTGCTGTCGTCAGCGTGCGCTGTCATCAGCGTGCGCTGTCATCAGCCTGTTCTGTCATCAGCGTGCACGGTCATCAGCCTGCACAGTCATCAGCCCGCGCTATCATCAGCCTGTGCCGTCATCAGCCTGCACTTTTGACAGGACTGACGGACTAGAGCGACCTCCGCAGCCAGTGGCGGGCGCAGTGGCCGCGAGTTCTGCTGGGACCTCCCAGGTGATCCCCCCCAATCTCGCCGACATTGTGCCCGCACGTGCCGCAGGCGCGCCGGCTCTTCCACATGATCGTCCACCCGGACAACTACACGTTCTTCGTGGACGACACGCCCGGGGAGCGGCAAGTTTGCGGCCGCATCCTGGAGACGCTCGACCAATGGACGATGCGCGTGGCGTTGCTCGACTTGCGCCTGCTATACCGCCAGACGGCCAAACAGGCGGCAGACAAGCACGCCCAGTGGCTGCAAACGCTGGCGCGCGCCGTCATCGAGGCATTCCAGCTGGGCGGCGGCGAGGCACATCGGCCGCACGCCAGGTGGGTGGGCCAGCGCCAGACGGCCACTCGCCAGGTGGGAGGGCCGGCGCCAGACGGCCACTCGCCAGGTGGGAGGGCCGGCGCCAGACGGCCTCGCGCCAGGTCGGTGGGCCGGCGCCGAACGGCCGCACGTCGGTTGAGTGGGCTGGCGCTGGACGGCAGGGGGAGCGTGCGGCCGAGATGTGGGTGATGCCGATATTTCTGATGTTTGTCCCTGTCTAGAGACGTCTTTGGGTCGTCCAGCCTGTTGTCAGCCGGCGTCGTCCCTCGTGCCGCTGACCCTATTTATTCCTGTCGCTGCCAGCCTCGGTTCGGACGAGCGGCCATCGTCCCCTCCCCCCTCCCCCCCCCCCCCTCCTCGCTGAGTGTTTAGTTCTGACCGCGTGCCTCTGCTGTCGCCATCAGCCTCGGTCCGGACGTGTGCCCGTCGTCCCCTCCCCTCCCCTCCTGGCTGAGTGTTTAGTTCTGACCGCGTGTCTGCTGTCGCCACCAGCCTCGGTCCGGACGAGTGCCCGTCCTCCCCTCCCCTCCCCCCCCCCCCCCCCCCCCGGCTGAGTGTTTAGCTCTGACCGCGTGTCTGCTGTCGCCACCAGCCTCGGTTCGGACGAGCGGCCGTCGTTCGTGTGGCTGGTGCCGCCGCTGGTGGCCAAGCTGCCGGCCGAGGCGCAGGCGCGTATCCTGCAGGCCGCCATCCAGGTGTTGGAGTCGGCCAGCTGGACGCGGCGGGGCGCCACGCCGGCGGCGCCCGGTCCCGCCGCCCACCAGCCCTTCAAGCAGCTGGTGCTCAGCTGTGTGCGCGGACACGAGGAGCAGCGTGACGAGCTGGTCAGCTCGCTCCAGGTCCAGTTCCAGCAGTTCCTCTCCAGGGATGGCAAGGACGTGAGTAAGCGAATGGAGATGAGGGGATGGGTAATCGGCAGTGCTTTCGGTGTGACACTAGTTTGAGGACATAAAATAATGGCCGCATGACGGTCCATATATCCCGTGCAAAATCTGGAATGCAAAAAGGAATGTTAAGAATAGGTAGACTCAATATATCCGGCGCTAATCGAAAATATAAACAACTGACAGTAGGGTAGCGTTTTGGTGATGCGATGTGTGAACTTGATTCTCTATTTATCCGGGCGATAGTTTGCCCACCCGAGAATGGAACAGCCGATGCGTTTTATCAGCCCGCTTTGTGTATCAAAATCACGCCGTGTGTATCTTGCCGTTTGATCGTTTCTCGTTATTTGACCTTTTTCTTGTTTGTGTTTATCCTGCCATTGTTTTTCCATGCCATCATAGGTCTTTTTTTCATTCATTTTTTTATTCCCATGCTGATTTTTCCAGCATTTATCCATGAAATATTTTGTCTTGATTATTTTCCATTTCGATTTTGAACACTGCTGTTATGTATTCTGTCCATGTTCTAGCTTTGTGTTGCCTGCACTCGATATTTTCTTCACTTGTATTGGTAGCTGTACGATATTTGATCGTAGCATATGGTCGGAACAGTATGCCCGTCGCATGTGCGCTTCCTACGTATGACGCCATCACATTGAAGCAATTGCCGCCGGCGCCGAAAGTGTAAAGTGTGGGTTCTAACAAGCTGTCTTCTGTTGCACTCAGGAGTCAAAAGATAAGGAAGAGAAGCGAAAGGGCGCCGAAAGCAACAAGGTGCGTGGGATCGTAGCTGGCTGTCTGTCCACACCGCTGCCTCTCCCCTGGCTGTCTGTCCGTACCGCTGCCTCTCCGCTGGCCGTTGGCCGTTCTGCTGTCTCTCCGTTGGCTGTTAGCCCGTTCCGCTGCTGCTCCGCTGTCCGTCCGTTCGTACCCCTACCTCTCGGCTGGCTGTCCGTCCACACCGTTTCCTATGGGCTCGGGCGCTGGCGGCCGGCCGCGCGCGCCGCTTCACACTGGCAGCAGCAGCGCGGCTGTCTTGCCTCGGTCAACACCTTTTTAACGACCCTTCATACCAAACACCACTCGCATGTGAAGCAAACTACCAGAAGCGCCTCGCGCGCAGACATCACGCGAAAAATCAAAGAATGTAGATGATCTGATCGCCACTGGCAAACTTCCTTTACGCTTCTCATGCAGGTCAAAATTCGTAGACATTTATCATACGCAACTAAAGACTGGCAGCGTCAATCATAACGCACATCTTTTCCAGATACAAAACTCTTCTGCTGCTTGCTATGTCTGTGGTCACAGGTCGAAAACAATTCATTATTTCATTCTCTTTTGTCTACTCTCAGCACGTCACACGCATATTAGGTCTCCGTCTCAATTAGTTTTCGGGTACCAACACCATACACGCCTTAATGTACGGAATAAACATCGACAGCGAGGATGGGCGGGTGCTCGCGGTGGACTGTCAGGACTGCATCATTGGAACGCTATAACTGCGACATGAGGCGGAGGCGGTGGCGATGGCGATGCCGGCGGCTGGCGCCGTGGCGGAGGCTCTGTATTGGGGTGCCACGTCCGGCGACCGTTTTTCGTTCTGTTTTTGCCTTTAGGGGAGGTGCCCAGGGTTGAGTCTGATGACGTATGCACCACATTGGCACCACTGCCAAGCGTGACGTCACGCTGGCGGTTTGGGGCGCGCTGGCCTGTCCGGCCGCCAGTGCCGACGGGCCAGCGCTCCGTCCGCACGCCAGCGGTGCGCTGGCGGCGGCAGCTCCCAGACGCCGCCCGTGCACGGCGTCGATGGTGGAGGCTAGTAAGGCTGCGCGTCTGAGAAACCAGAGGTACTGGGTTCGATTCCACGCAGTGCCTGTCCTTGCCTGGGTGAGCGGCGACGCCTTATAGCCTCAGCAGCGGAGTATGTCGTAAAGCCCCAATGACGATGACGTCGCCGCCCGTGCCATGCCCGACAGAAGGAGACGGTGTTCCCGGACGAGAACAAGACCGGACCGCACGTGTACAGCGCGCTCCAGCTGCGCTTCAGTCTGCTGGGCGGCGTGTTCGACGCCATCCAGCGCGGCAGCCTCAGCTGCACCGACACCTGGGTTGTGCTGCTGGCCCAGCTGGTCACCAACGGCGTCGTCACGCTCTACAACAACAGGTGGGCGGCGGGGGCAGGGGAGCGTGCTGACGCCTCGGCGGCGGCTTGAGCTGTGCGGCGGACGCCGGTCGGTGTGTGCTGCTCGTGGTCAGCGGGGGGGGGGGGGGGGGGGAGGGGAGCGTGTTGGCGACCGTGATCGGAGAGTCGCCAGGGCCTGCAGGTCATCGCTGAGATAACTCGAGGAAGACAGAGTTACCAGGAGGAGGGCAAGAGGTATCACATAGGTTGACGGACTAGCATCTGCACGACCTCACCTTCATTTACGTGGCAGCGACGTGCATCACGGTGATCGGCTTGATCTGTTGGGGATATGATCACCATTGTTTGGGATATGATGTGACGACGGGCCACCTTTGGCAGTGACATGTACACCACCGTGGTGGACATGATGGCCACCCTGATCCACTCGGCCGTCGTGGGAGACTCGCAAGCCGAGAAGCCCGAGGAGAACAAGCGCCACTACCAGACGCTGGCCAAGAAGCTGCGCAAGGTGGGGGCCGGTGGAGGTCCGAGTGGGCGCCCTCCTGCGGGCTGTGTCGAGTACTAATCATGCTCAACAAGCCGATTTGTTGTGTTGCGCTCTTGGCACATATCCCGTGTCGCAGTCCAAAAGAGTCGGGATTAAACAGAACGTCGCCACACCTTTTGTGCGGACGTAGCTGTTTTCGTTAAGCGAAGGCTTTGAGTCGGATGCATCCACAGCCTAGCAGCAGCGCGAGCCGTGTTCATCTGGCCGGTGCCCCTGTCCACCACCGGCTGGCCGGTGCCCCTGTCCACCATCGACTGGCCGACGCCCCCTGTCCACCACCGGCTGGCCGGTGCCCCTGTCCACCACCGTCTGGCCGGTGCCCCTGTCCACCACCGGCTGGCCGGTGCCCCTGTCCACCACCGTCTGGCCGACGCCCCCTGTCCACCACCGGCTGGCCGACGCCCCCTGTCCACCACCGGCTGGCCGACGCCTCCTGTCCACCACCGGCTGGCCGACGCCTCCTGTCCACCACCGGCTGGCGGACGCCCCCTGTCCATCACCGGCTGGCCGACGCCTCCTGTCCACCACCGGCTGGCGGACGCCCCCTGTCCACCACCGGCTGGCCGACGCCCCCTGTCCACCATCGACTGGTCGACGCCTCCTGTCCACCTCCGGCTGCACGTGTGACGCCGTGCGCGGCCGGCCGGCGACGCTGACTGGTGCTGACCGGCGTTCCGCCCGCCACAGGAGCTGGGCGACAGACGCGGCGTGTCCATCAAATACCTGCGCCAGTTCTTGCCCATCCCCAAGAAGACGGTGGAGGTGATAAACTGCGAACTCAAGTCAGCGCCGCTGCCCGGCTTCGAGAGCTTCGAGAAGCGCCGGGTGAGGCGGCGGCCGCTGCTGCGCGGTTCGCCGGCGGCGGGACTCCTGCTGTCGGCCGGGGCGCGCCGCGCGGGGTCCGCCGACAGGCTGGTCAGCTGGTGCCGAGGGTCGCCGGCGGCGGGCTCCTGCTGTCGGCCGGGGCGCGCCGCGCGGGTCCGCCGACAGGCTGGTCAGCTGGTGCCGAGGGTCGCCGGCGGCGGGCTCCTGCTGTCGGCCGGGGCGCGCCGCGCGGGTCCGCCGACAGGCTGGTCAGCTGGTGCTGAGGGTCGCCGGCGGCGGGCTCCTGCTGTCGGCCGGGGTGCGCCGCGCGGGTCCGCCGACAGGCTGGTCAGCTGGTGCTGAGGGTCGCCGGCGGCGGGCTCCTGCTGTCGGCCGGGGTGCGCCGCGCGGGTCCGCCGACAGGCTGGTCAGCTGGTGCTGAGGGTCGCCGGCGGCGGGCTCCTGCTGTCGGCCGGGGGGCGCCGCGCAGGTCCGCCGACAGGCTGGTCAGCTGGTGCCGAGGGTCGCCGGCGGCGGGCTCCTGCTGTCGGCCGGGGCGCGCCGCGCGGGTCCGCCGACAGGCTGGTCAGCTGGTGCCGAGGGTCGCCGGCGGCGGGCTCCTGCTGTCGGCCGGGGCGCGCCGCGCGGGTCCGCCGACAGGCTGGTCAGCTGGTGCCGAGGGTCGCCGGCGGCGGGCTCCTGCTGTCGGCCGGGGCGCGCCGCGCGGGTCCGCCGACAGGCTGGTCAGCTGGTGCCGCGCGGTTCGGGCAGTACCGCAATGCCCGCACCAACAGCTGGGTCTGTTGCGTATGGTTCAGAGCGCCGCGTCGTGACTTAGAGGCGCTTTGGATAGCCTGATCTACGGACCGAGCTCAGTGCAGGCAGCAGCAGTATACCCCAGGCCGTTCTTTGACTCGGTAATGCTCCCAGGGCTGAACTGGTGACACGCTTGTACTATGTGGCGCTGTCTTGCCGTCTGCAAGGGGGATCCTGTAAGAGCCCTGGCTGTTCTCTCTGCCAACCCTCGCGCGTCTGGACACGGCTGGCTCCGTGGCCGGTATCCTTCCCGGGCCGTTACCCCGCCGTCAGCTGCCGTGGCGTGCTGGGGCGTGACCTCCTGCTGTAGCCGGGCCGTGACCCCGCCGCCGGTCGCGCGACAGGGCCTGATCCTGGTGGACAAGCAAAAGGTGTCTCCCTGGGATCTGCTGGAGGGCCACCGGAACCCGGCGCCGCTCAGCTGGTCTTGGTTCGGCGCGCTCAAACTGGAGCGCTCGCTCAGCAAGTACGAGGAGGTCTTCAAGATGATGAGGTGAGGCGCGGCGGGCGCAAGGCATATGCAACATGCAATACGTATATGCGTTATACGATGCAATACGTATATGCGTTTTTGTTCTCTTGGTAAGACTTGCTTGTTTTTGTTCTCTTGGTAAGACTTGTTGACTTGCTATTGGACCCCCGCGCTGCCACCAGATGCTATTATTACATCTGAGCGCCGGTAGGAGTCGTCAGGAGTTTGTCAGGTGTGTCAGGCGGCCGTCCCGCTGGGCTAGCTTGGCGTGGGACATGCTTTCCTGTGTCGGGCGCCACCATGCTGGAACTGAGGTGCTGACGTTACCGGCCGCTGCAGGTTCCACCGGCACAACGGCATGATCAAGCTGGACAGCTACTACCTGGAGCCGCCGCCGCTGCCGCCCGAGGACCTCGAGCCCGTCCCCGAGAAGCAGGTGTGCGGTCGCCGCTGCTCCAGTGTGCCGTCTCCTGCCCAGCGCTGGACACCGTGTCCCGTCCTCCGGCTCTCGCTTCGGCGGCCGCCGCGGCCGCCTGTCCGTCCGTTTGTCGGAGACCGCCACGCCGCCGTCGTCACAGACACCGCCGGCGCTGTGGACTGGCGGGCCGGCGGCGCTCCAGTGTCCGTTGACATTGCTGTGGTGCTGGCCTGCCGCCCTTTTCAACCGTCATTTACGCAGTTGTTCGATGTCGGGTGGTTTTGGCGGTCGTCGCCTGCCATGACTTCTGCTGGACTGTGTGAAATTTGGCCGCTATATTCTGCCCCTCTCTCCCTCAGGTCTTTCCTCCCAAGGCGCAGGTATTTCTTGCCGGACGTTTGTTGTGATGACTATATTATTTCTGCCCAGTTTCGTGTAGCGGGCATGGCTTTGAACGCGATTTGTACACCTGATTTGCTCGCCTTCCGAAGTGGTTGTGCGCCTTTGATGTATGTCGGGGCCTGGGCTGGATTGCAGGCGGGTTTTTGGCACGGTTTCGTCAGAAGACGGCCATCAGCGCCATATGGCTGTGCAGCAGGCGGGTTATAAGGGACGATGGACATAAGGTCCGGGATAATGCGTTATTCTTGAGCGTCTCGAAACCATGAATATCGTCTTGAAACGTCGAATATCGTCATGTGTTCTATTGATGGCTGGTAGCTCCGCCCAATGAGTACCTCCCAGAGCATTAAGAATCAGTAATTTTCAGCTCTTAAAAAGTATGTCTTGCACGCTCCATGCTGGGCGTGACAAGAAAGATAAGACCCTGTGTAGATCCGACCAAAGCGCTCGCGGTTTCTGAACGTTATCAACCTGTGGCGCCGCGCGTGGTCGCCCTGTCGTCGCGTCGGCCCCAGCTGAGAGGCTGCTCCACACCGCCCTGTCACTGTTGACCCCAGCTGAGAGGCTGCTCCACACCGCCCTGTCACTGTGGACCCCAGCTGAGAGGCTGCTCCACACCGCCCTGTCACTGTTGACCCCAGCTGAGAGGCTGCTCCACACCGCCCTGTCACTGTTGACCCCAGCTGAGAGGCTGCTCCACACCGACCCCAGCTGAGAGGCTGCTCCACACCGCCCCGTCACTGCGTCGGCCCCTGCTGAGAGGCCGCTAACGTGCAGGCCGGCCGCCGTTCGCAGAAAGAGGAGGCCAAGGTGCCCGAGGTGCCCAGCTGCGACTCGCCGCGTGGCAACAAGCGGGCTCGCGGCGGCGCCCAGCGCAAGAAGCGCGAGCGCCCCAACCGATCGCTCAGCAACTCTGGGATCATGGCGCCGCGCATGAACACGGTACGGGAGCTGGCGCCTGGGCCGGGCGCCGCCGCTGAGCGCGGTAGGGCTCCTGCCACTGCGCAAGGTTAAGGCCATGTGTCACCATACAGTTTTGTCAACTGCTTGTTTAGTTCCAGCACACTTTCGTTATTTATCTGTGTTCACATCATTTGGTTTGCTGCTACCGTTTGCTGTCACCGCCCATCAGTGGTTGGTGTCTGAGCTCTGCAGCGTCCCTGGGGTCTCCATCCTGCACCGGAACTGCCCGGTTGTTGTCCAGGCCTGACAGGTCTGTGGTCCCTGCCGCGTCCTATGCTGACAGTACTCGCCGCATCCTCTGCCCTGACGGTGCCCGTGGTGTGCTCTGGCCTGGCAGTGCTCGTGGTGTGCTCTGGCCTGACAGTGCCCGTGGTGTGTTCTGTCGTGACAGTGCCCACCGTGTCCTCTGCCCTGACAGTGCCCGCGGTGTGCTCTACCCTGACAGCGCCCGTGGCGTGCTCTGCCCGGACTGCGCCCTCCGTGACCGCTGACCGTGCCATCTGTGACCCCGCCGCCGGCCGCCATGACCCCTGTCTGGAGTGACGGGACGCGGTGGTGTTTCAGCCGCCAATGACCGGCATGGGGCCGTACCCGTCAGCCAGTCTGTACCCGGGCGAGCCGCAGTGGGGCTTCCCGCAGCAGCAGGCGCCCCAGGCCGCCGCGCCCTACTACCAGCAGCCGCCGCTGGGCCCCGGTGAGCTGACGCCGCTCCGCCCACTGTAGACCACCCGTCTGTGACGCCAGCGGCGCCGAGCTCGTCCGCCCCGGCCGGTGGTCGGTCGTACCGTATCCTCTCTTGCCAGCATTTGGTGGCTGAAGTTTGTGCCATCACATGTAAGGAAGTGGTGCCCATCGCGGGGCTTTTGTGCGGACTTCAGTGGCTCCCGGCCCGTCACCTGAGGTGCCGGGCTGCTCTGTCATCTGCCCTGTGTCTCTGTGATTTCTCGTCTGACCCGCCGGACAGCTCTGTGACCCCCGGCCCGCGATGGACCGTGACCTGCCCCCTGGTCCAGCCGACCTTCCGGCGGGGTCGTCTGACCGGCCCGTGATCTGGCTGCCACCAGGTGGCGGACCCCGCTTCCAGACGTCGGCCAGCAAGCAGGCCATCTCGCAGATGCTGCGCAACCGGCAGCCGAACGCCTTCATGCAGCCGCAGCCGCAGCCCGGCTACCCCAGCATGCACATGCAGGACAAGCAGCTGCAGCTGCGCCAGCAGCAGATGCACTTCAGGTGGGCGAGCAGGCGGGCCGGGTGGGGCCAGTCGGCGGCGGCGGCCGAGGAAGTCATGACGACCCGCGGCACCTCTTCAGTGGGGTGGACAGGGCCCGGTGCTGTGATATCAGTTCCCTATGGCCATGCAGCGGTTGCGTTTTCGAGTAAGAACCAGTGCCATCGTCATCAGCATCGAACTCGCCAGTGGTGTAGCCTGCTGGTGCTCCTCTTGACTGCCTGGTAGGCACGCAGCGCAGCTCCTGCTGTGTGCACTGATGCCCCTGTGCTGACCGCCCGTGCGATGTGAGGCTGGATGACCGCACTCGCGTGGCTTCAGGGGACCTGTGCGCGGGACGAGGCGGCCCGCCGAGGGGACGGCAGTCGTTCAGGCGTCGCTGAGCAGCTGCCGTTCCGGCCTTTACCTCTGTGCCGCTGCGTGGGCCGTCCGCCGGAAGGGCGCCGCTGACCCCGTGCTCCGCCGGCAGGGACCAGATCCGCGTGCAGCACGGTGCGCCCGTGTATGCACCGCGCCAGATGCCCGGCCCGCCGGCGCCCGGGCCGGGCATGCCGCAGACCATGTACCCCAGTAAGTATCTCATGCCATACACCCAGAGTGCTGCCCGGGTAAAAACCATGTGCCTCTTAGCGTGATGGGTTGTCGTGTCATGTACCTCAGGTAGAACTCAGGCCCTCGCACGCCGTCAGTTTATCCCGGCAGTGTAGGCCGCATGCCGCCGTGCGGCGCTCATGTGGAGAACTTCAGTGTGCGGCGGCCGACTCCGGGGACGCCGGCCCACCCCCGGTGTGTGGCCACTCGGCGCGCTGAAGCATTGACCCCGGCACGTCACGGGAGCTCGGCTGGCACGGGGCCGCCTCTGTCCCCGGCCGCGAGCGGCGCCGTCTGAGAATGCGAGTGCTGCTGTTGGGCGAGTGTGCAAGCTGCTGTGTGTGTGTTGGGCCGGCCGCACGTGAGCTACTGCGTGTCTCGGGTCGGCCGTGCGTGAGCTGCTGTGTGATGGGCCAGCCGTGTGTGAGCTGCTGTGTGATGGGCCAGCCGTGTGTGAGCTGCTGTGTGATGGCCAGCCGTGCGTGAGCTGCTGTGTGATGGGCCAGCCGTGCGTGAGCTGCTGTGTGATGGGCCAGCCGTGCGTGAGCTGCTGTGTGATGGCCAGCCGTGCGTGAGCTGCTGTGTGATGGGCCAGCCGTGTGTGAGCTGCTGTGTGATGGGCCAGCCGTGCGTGAGCTGCTGTGTGATGGCCAGCCGTGTGTGAGCTGCTGTGTGTGACTGGCCGGCCGTGCGCGAGGTGCCGTGTGTGGTGGGCCGGCCGTGCGGAGTCGCACCCGGCAGCCGGCCCTGACCGGTCTGCACCCTGTCACAGGCATGAACCAGGGCTACAACCCGGCGTACATGGCGCAGCAGGCGCCGCAGCCCAGCCAGATGCTGACGCAGGGAAACCCCAACAGTGAGTCGGCCGCTGCGCCCCGCGGCGGGCTGTCGAGGCGCGTCGTCAGCACCCTTGGTTCGGCACGTGCTCGTCCCGCGGGCTGGGCAGGGCGAGCCGCCCGTGTTGGCTATCCCATCAGTCTACGGCCCGTGGCGCCCGCCCGCGTCGGTGGTAACCACGGCCGAGGTCGGGCGGGGCTGTCGAACCACAGCCTGCAGAGGCAGGTCGGCGCAGGCTGGTGGCCTCAGTGGGGCGCCGGCGCCGCCAGGTCGCCGTGTGTGTGCTGACCGCCGACTGTTCCCGACAGCCCTGGCGTTCAGCAGCCAGCAGGGTCAGCCTGGCCAGCAGTCGGCCATGATGCAGCAGCAGCAGCAGCCGGCTATGATCCCCATGCGCAGCCAGCAGCAGCCGGGCCCAGCCGGCTACATGGGACAGATCAGACCCAGTACAAACTACATGCAGGTGGGCGACGGTGCCGGCTCCGAGCGCGAGATCTCAGGCGGCTTTGCAATACCTTCACACTGTCATCAGCCGACCCTCACCCTCATACTCACACCGTCATCAGTCGACCCTCATCCTCATACCCTCACACCGTCATCAGTCGACCCTCATCCTCATACCCTCATACCGTCATCAGTCGACCCTCACCCTCATACCCTCACACCGTCATCAGTCGACCCTCATCCTCATACCCTCACACCGTCATCAGTCGACCCTCACCCCTCATACCCTCACACCGCCATCAGTCGACCCTCACCCTCATACCCTCACACCGTCATCAGTCGACCCTCACCCTCATACCCTCACACCGTCATCAGTCGACGGGCGAAATGCAAGACTGATTCAGAGTGGTGCAGCATTGTGCCTGAATCATGCGGCTGACATTTCGCCCCTGTACCGTTGGGAGTCGTGCCTGTCGGGGCCCGGGAGTCGGCGGCTCGCCGTCCCTCCTGACTTGCCACCGCTGAGTGCTCCTTCCGCCGGCCGTTGCAGGCGCCGAACGTGACCGTGAACACGATGCCGGGCGCCCAGTACCGGGGCATGGCACCCGGCCCCCCGGCCGCCGGCATGCAGCAGCGCATGCGCCACCCCATGATGATGCAGCAGCAGCCCACGCTGATGAACCAGCTGCGCCAGCCCAGCCTGGCTCAACAGCAGCAGCAGCAGCAGCAGCAACAGCAACAGCAGCAGCAACAACAGCAGCAGCAACAGCAGCAACAGCAGCCCCCGCAACAGCACAACCCGTACCAGTACCACCACCCGTGAGGCGGCGGTCGACAGCTGCCGTCGCTGGCTGGAGACGCGCTGGCCCGACAGGCTACGGCCGGCCAACGACAGTGCCCCGGCTTTCCGGCTCGGACGCCGCTGTTGTTCTGGCGTGGTCCGCCGCCGCCGCCGGCTGTTGCGCGGCGCTAGCCAGCTGCTGGACCGCTGTGTGGGTGCAGTGCCCCCCCCCCCCCGCCGCTTCGTGTCAGGGGCACGCGTGTGCGCTCGAGCCCGCCGCGTGCCCCCCCCCCCCCCCCATTCCGCCTATTTGACGTCATGTGAGCCGCGCTGGACTGCGGCGCGCTGCCGCTCCGTGCTGTAATACATATCTTGTACAATAGGGTGTGTCGTCGAAGGGGTGAATCTATTGGAATCAACCGAGCCCAATTTTTTCCGTGGCATACGGATTAATGATAAACTTTCAGGTGTGTCGTACCGCACCAACGTTGATATTCGCGAAGCCAGAGCAGTTCTGTGATACGCCAAGAACGTCGTATTCGGTACTAGCGCCATCTATTTCACGCACTAGGACCATCCTCCAACAAGTCGCAAGCTTGTCACTTTCCACACTGCTGGTATCTGGTGGATTACGTGTGAAATAGATATCGTGAAGAGCGTCAGCAAAACATTGGCAAATGGCTTTTAAGTTGCGTTTTTATTGAAGGACATTATTTTTTTATAAAACCCAAAGCTGTGCAGTTATGAGAATGCTCCAGCAGACCGGGGCAGGTTCAAGTTTGCGATTGTTAACGCATCATTGTGATATTTATTTGCAATTGATATGCTCGTTGTGTGGGCGCTATGGGTTGATTAGTTTAATTTTGCCGGTACTGAAACATTTGTTCGATAAATTACTTGCATAAGCATGCCGAAGGCTACACGGTCGCGCACAAAACATTTTGTGATAGGCCACCCGGCTCCACTGTCCCACCACCAACTGCCGGCTACGAGAAAGCATCGAGCTACATCAGGTGGCTGAGCGAAATGAAGAGAAATCTCGCTAATACCACCTTCGAGACCGCGCCGGTAGAAGGCAGGGGACTGTGGGTAAACGTAGCGATCCCCGTTCATGGTCTGAAATACGTGACAAAATTGATCGAGAGGGACTGATATCATTCCAACAGAGCTGTCAGCAAGAAATCGAAGAAAGAGAGTAACACAGCAACGCCGTCACTGCAAAATTCAAGAAGCTTCTCGATGTCGCGAAATGCAAGTGCAAATATCAGCGTAGCTTTCCATGCCCAATTGTCTGCACAGTGTATCAAGAGGAGGTTGCCTTGAAGGACCAGTACAGGTACCGGAAGCTTACCCTGGGGTCATATTACCGGGATACGACTGTGACTAGAGAGGCTCGCGAGGTGCGGAGGATGGCCAGACAACCGCTGGGACGTCATGGCTCGGCCGCCAGTGAGGCGGGGTCTGCTGCTGAACCTGGGTCGCCTTCCCCGCCGACTGCTGAGCCCGCGCCGCCTGATAAGCCAGTGCTGGCTGCTAGTGCCGAACTCAAGCCTGCTCCGGGACCAAATGGTCTCAGCGCTGGTGACTCAGCCGAGAGCACTGATTCCTACACGGCTCCGTAGAAGGTGGCGACTTGTTTTGAAGAACGTCGATTGTTCGTTCCTGTTGAAACCACTGTCATTGTAGATTGTAACGTTAACGATTGACTAACAGCGATCAGGCGGACGACAGCTATGGTGGTTCGAACTGGGCCGCTGCTGCTATCAGCAATGCCTTTCAACAAGACAGCAGAGACGGACTGGCTACTTGAAATCAAATATCATAGATTCCAAGAAGATATGCTGCGCAAGAGACAGAGCGAGAAAGGAGAGGGCTCGTAAAAATGTTGGAGCAATCCACGAATCAGGTTTGACCATCCTCGACTCCGACGGCCGCGAAGGCAGGAGCTACATGAGTCACACGGAACCAAGGGAATGCCTTCGAGAAACACGTGGTTGTCATCGCTGAGCCATGCAGCCCCTACGTGACTCATTTTACGTGAGTTTGGCCGCGCCCTACACTTGCTCAACGAGCTACGCTATGTGAGCCCGCAGTGCGACGGTCACGTCAATGTGCTCGGTTGTGTTGGCACGGCCGTCAACACCGGACCGACAGGCGGCGTGTTCCGGCTGTTTGAGCTGGCCACCGAGTCACCCGTGCAATACTTCATCTGCCAGCTGCACGGCAGCGAGCTGCAACGGCAACCTCCTCCATCTTCTGCTGAGCTTGGACGGCACGACCACGGAATCAAATTTTTGGGGCTCATCGGCAAGACCTGCGCGGGGAGATCTGGGTGAGAGAGGGACGTTGCGGCATTCAAGCCTGTGCCGGGACACGTGCCAAACCTGCCGGTCGACCTGATTCAGCTACCGAGCACCAACTAGCAGCTGCTCTACCTTCTGGCCTCCGGCGTTCAAAACGGCTCTGTCCGAAACGTGGCAGTCCAGCGGCGAATCGGACCATCAAACCATGCCAGGTAAATATGAAAACACTATCTTCTAATTTATAGCAATGAGTGTTTAAATCATCAAGTATCAATTGATATTTCGTATGCTCGCTGTTGAGCATTTACTTTTTATCAAACCTTGTGCCGTATAATGTCGTTTTATTTGCTCGATGGTTCATGTTTACTAGTATATTTGTTGATATCCATTCCGTCACATCTAGGGACTCTGGATATCGGCGTAATTACATGCACTTCAGAGGCGCAATAATTTGTGTACGATCTAATGGTCAGTTCGTAACAAATTGTTCCAATATATTCGCTTTTGCTTTCAGATGGTTGACACTGGCCGCCCGCCTGCTGCTAGTTTACATTTCTATCGAAACCTCCAGCAGCGCTCTCGGGGGCCTCGTCCAGTGCGTGGTCGACCACTATGTGGCTGTATGGTCCGCCATCCGGCAAAACAGCAGCTGCGACTTTGGCTTTCGCAACTTGCTCCGGAACATCGCGCTGCTCCGCGAGCTGCCGCGGCAAACGTAGGCCACGGTGCAGCCAGTCCTCCCACGTAACGGGTACTAGGTCAGTCCGGAACAGCTGTCACTGGACATGGTGTGGGATGAGAGCCGCATGGTCCGCGAACAGGTGGTTCCGATCGTCGCACCGCTCTTGAGCAGCAAACTGAGGCTCTTCTTCACCCCAGGGCTTTCGCCATCCCAGATTTCAACTTCGGGGCCGTGCGATACACCAACCTGATTCCCCTGGCACGGACCAGTCACACGGCCTCCACTGCGAGACCCAGCGACTGCGGGCTGCGGAACATAGTGTAGGCTCTGGCAATCTCGCCCCATCTAGTTCACACAAGTAGTGCAACCAGCGCCACACTGCTGAGGACGTCTGGGGCTGGGGCTAGAGCTTCGGCGATATGTGGAACCCAGTTGCGACGATATATCTGTTACCGTGCGACCTCCGCCAACACGTGTTTTGAGTCTCCAGTATGTGAGCAGCTGCTGTTTGGGCCGGCCTTTCTTGCCATCCACACTAGAGCAACTAATGTGGCTCATTGCCGTGGCGTAGTACTTCGCCTCCACAAACTAATGGCTGCGACTGAGAACATCCAGACACCACAACGAACGTGTGATCCGCGAACGCCAGCTGGAGATACGGCACGTTATTACAAACCACACGTCTATGTCGGAATCGGAGAGGAGATGCGTAATGGCCCCGGAGAACGGGTCGGCGTTCCACCCAGAACAGCATTGTACAGTTGCGTAAATGCCCGCGAAGAAGACAGATCTGACGACCAGAGCATGACACCAAAACGGTTATACACGTTCAGCCCCTTTACCAATCTAGTGGATCGATTTCCGTGGTAGCTTGGACACTGGTAGGACGTAAGAAGGCTTAAAAACCGAGCCCGTCAAGGGTAAGCTTATCCTTACACGAAGAGCCCCGTCTCTGTGCGGTAGATGTACGTCACTAAACACCGTTCCTTGGCCTTACCGCATTGCGGAAGTTGTGCATCGTGTGCTCATGAAATACGCCTTCAGATATGCATTTATTATCCGGTTATTAATTGAAATAACATGGTTGCATCCCACCAACTGCAAACGCGGCGGTGTTATTTAAACTGCATTAGTGAAGTTATGCAACGCAAACCCCCCATCATCACCCGAACTGTCCCTCACAGAATCACAAGGCCCCACAGTCCTTAGGCAGCGCCGGCAAGCTCGCAAGCCAGCTCCGGCCGGAGACGTCCCTCGGCGCCGTTCTCAGCGGGATCGAGCGGCGTTGGTCGCACACGGATCGGCCGGGGCGAGCTGAGCGGGGCGCCTGCCCAGCCACTGGCGCCTCACGCGGCCCGCACGCGGCCGGTCCAGACCGCGCCGCTTCGGCAGTCACTGCCACACCTGCCGGCAAGGCGGACCGGTGCGCTGCTGAGTCTTCACACAGCCGGCTGCATGGTGTGTGGCCTGGCCCGGCGCCAGTCACGGCCGAGACCTGACCGGTGCAGCGCAGGCCCGACACGCCGGGCCCGGTCCAGTGCACGTGACGTCACACTCTTGCCACAAGCAGGCACCGACACAAAGGTCGACCGCGGCATATGGTGGCCGATAAACGAGTCGAGGTCCACACAGCTCCACAGATGGCCCGGCAGCATGCATCCCCACCACGAGCACACCACCTGGTCATTACAAAGGGAACTGTGGTAACACGCAGAAAGCGGGCCCGTTGCGACTGAGCCGAGCCGCGCACTCGACAACACAGCGGAGAGACGTCCGCACTGGAACCGTACATCACAGCGGAGAGACGTCCGCATTGGAACCGTACATCACAGCGGAGAGACGTCCGCACTGGAACCGTACATCACAGCGGAGAGACGTCCGCATTCGAACCGTACATCACAGCGGAGAGACGTCCGCGCTGGAATCGCACATCACAGCGGAGAGGCGTCCGCATTGGAACCGTACATCACAGCGGAGAGACGTCCGCGCTGGAATCGCACATCACAGCGGAGAGGCGTCCGCACTGGAACCGTACATCACAGCGGACGTCTCTCCGCTGTGATGTACGGTTCCAGTGCGTACATCGCAGCGGAGAGACGTCCGCATTGAAACCGTACATCACAGCGGAGAGACGCCCGCACTGGAACCGTACATCACAGCGGAGACGTGCGCACAGGAATTGTACATCACAGCGGAGACGTCCGCACAGGAATCGTACATCACAGCGGAGACGTCCGCACTGGAATCGTACATCACAGCGGAGACGTCCGCACTGGAATCGCACATCACAGGGCGTCCGCTGACAGCTCATGGTGGCGAATTCAGGGTCCAAGGCCACGCAAGGCTATCCAAACTTGAGTCACAAAGAGTAAGATGCAGATATAAAATCACGCTTACAAGAGATGGTGATGGTGCTAGTCTCCCACCCCAATCTGTCAACATCAATCCTATATCAAACGTGTCGATATACCTGCCAGCCATCGTTCAGGTTTGACGCTCACGAGAGCACGAACTCCAAGCGGGCTCCTTTTCGTCCAGCACACAAGGTGACACGCCCCTTGGCCTGTCACGCCACGCGAGCACATGTGTCCGTCCGTATCCCGCGTACGGCAGTACAGATCACTCGCTCGAATTAACTTGGCGTCTGTGCTTTCCGCGAGCACATGTTTGAGGTACCAGCATAGATACGGCTCTAGGAGCGGCTCGGGAGAGAGCCCCGGCCATGGTTCAGTTAGAAAAGAGCGAGTTCGAGGTAAATTGAACAAATTCGGTACTTTTTATCATTACTTCCCCGTTAAATGCCCGCGACCCCATCAAATGATGTGTTACTTGGTGTTTTAGTGACATCGACCTCTAAGATAATTTGCGCCTGCAACGGTGACCTTACCTTTTTAGTAGGGTGTTAAGGCAATAAAGCGAATCTATTTTAGAAAAGAAAATACCTGTCTTTGCACGAGAAAGCCAGAACTGCCACCCAGGATATCACCGAGTCTAAAACACGATGCATGGCAGGCAACCAGTGCACTGCAGTCGTTTCTTCCTAAAATGTGGACACGACCAGAACAGGTGGTTTACTGTAGGAAGGACACCGCATCGATGGCAAAGAGAAGCCCCGGCCGAACATATCAAGCATACGTTGCGTATGTTTGGCGAAAGCACACCCCAGATAATTTCCCACAGACGCTGCAAAATCGTTGGAATTGTAGCAAACACGTCCGTTACGCATAACGCGGAGACAATGTTACACTTTGATCGATCGATGCTGTGACTGGCGGCGCACCATTGACAGGAAGGCTTATATTATGCGACTCACCTCCAAACCGTAGGCCGCTCTGGATTTCCGTGCTCCATCTCCGGTGGATCGCCCGTCCAACACCTTCACTGGACGCTTCTCTTCCCGAACAGCGTGATGTCAGACGCTGTCCTCGGTGCCCCTTGGCTCTGGTGGGTGATGATTACGCGACCTGCCCCGGCACCGAGCCCCCCCCCCCTCCGCCACGGGGCGTCACTCGCGGCGGCCCAGCCGGCCCACGTCCGGGTACCGCGCCGGCTGCTGTCGGTAGGCGGCGCTCTCACGCACCGCGTCGGCCAGGCTGGCAGCAGCCACGCGGCGCGCCGCCGCCTCCACCTCGGCGTCCTCGGCCACGGCGGCCAGCAGCGCGTCGGGCCCGGCGCCGGTTGGCAGGCGGCACGCTTCCAGCGCCTCGGCCGTGCAGCGGCGCACAAGCTGAGCCAGTGAGCCGCGCGGCTTCTGCGCCTGCAGCGCGGCGCGCCGACCGGCCGGCTGCACGGCCAGGTAGCCGTCACTGAAGGGCCGCGCCGCCGACGGCCGGCGTCGCTGCAGCTCGGCGTCACGGCAGAGCGTGGCCAGCCAGCCGGCCGGCACCGCGTAGTGCCACGACTCGGCGCCCGGCCGCACCGGCGCCAGCGCGCCCACCGACCGCACCGGCTCCGCTGTCGCGCTCAGCTCCACGTCCATGGCGGCCGCCGCCGGCTCGACAGGAGCTGCAGCGGCGGCGCTGGCAGCGGCGCTGGCAGCAGCGGCAGCAGCGGTGCTGGCGGCTGTGGCTGCGGTGGCAGCGGCGGCGGCGCGCTCCTCAGCCGCCTCGCGCGCCACCAGCCGTTCCTTGCGCGCGCTGTGCGTCGCCTGGTGCCACGAGTGACACTGCAGGAACGGGTCGAACGGGTTCGCGCCCAGGTGGCGCACCACGGGCGTGTGGCCGAGCGGCGGTTGCGGCTGCGCCGTCGGCCGAGTGGAGGTGGCGCTGGTGGTGCCGCCGTCACCCGACGGCGGCGGCTCGGCCGCGCTGGCGCCGGCGCCGGCGACGCCACCGCCGCCGCCGCCAACGCTGCCGGCCGTCGTCGCCGCCGGCTGCATCTGGAGCGCCGCACTCACTGCCGCCTGGTGGGCCGCCATCGCCGCCTCGTGCACGTTGCGGTGCAGACCGGGCGCATGCGCTTCCAGGTGAGCGCCCACCACGCTGTTCTGGATCGCCTCGACGATGTTGTTGAGCAGGTTCTGGCCGTCGGCGGCGGGCGCAGCTGGGCTCGTTTGATCGGCCGCCGGACCGGCCGCCGTCGTCACCGTCTCCAGCTCGATGCGCACCTCGTTTACGTCCTCCGTCTCCATGGCGTTGTCGTCAAGTGGCGGGTCGGCCGGGTCGGCGGCGGGTGCCGGTGCGGCCGCCGGTCCGGGCGGCGATCCGGCCGTCGGGGCCGCGGCCGGCTCCGGCGGCGCGCCGGCGTCGGGCGGCGCGCCCGCGTCCGTCACCGGCGCGCCCGGCCGCTCCCGGTGGATGTTAGTGGTGATGTTGATGTGCGCCTGCACTGGCTGCATGGCCGGCATCGGGTGCGTCTCCGTGAAGATGACGGGTCGGGCGCGCATGTGGCGCGGCGGCGCCTGCTCGAAGTCGAGCATCATATCACTACTGAGATGCAGCGCGTGCGCCAGGTAGTGCATCGCCTCCGAGGTGTGCTGGAAGAGGCGGCGCGCCTCGCGCGCGGCCGCCGCGTCGGCGCACGGCCGGTCGTCTTGCATGAGACGGCGGTAGCGGCCCATGTAGGGGCGCAGGCGAGCCTGCAGGTCAGCCACCATCTCCAGCAGACGCGCGTACACGGCGGCGCTGGGGTGCGCCACGAACGCCGTGCCGCCCGATCCGGCCGTCGCCGCCTGGCCGGTGGCGGCAGCGACCGGCTCCTCAGAGGGAGCAGTACGTCCGGCGGGGGTGGAAGAAGCGGCGGGGGTGGAAGAAGCGGCGCGTTCGCCACCAGTGGAAGCCGTTGCCGACCCGGTGGCGGAGACAGCAGGCGCGGCAGGGGGGACTGAAGGGGCAGCGGACGCGGTGGTGGGTGGCCCTGCAGATGAGACGGCTGGGCCCGTAGAGGGCGTCGAGCCTGAGGAGTCCGGTCGGGCGGCGCCGGCTGCCGGCGCCGCGGCCGGACCAGCAGTGGGAGTCGTCGGCCGCTGGTGGATGTGGAATTGGAAGCGGCCGGGGGGCACACCTGACCCCATGGCGCCCGGCATCAGACCCACCATCGGCATGGCGTTGGAGGCGGCGCTGAGCGCGGCCGTCAGGGCCGCCGAGGTGGCCTGCTGCAGGTCTGAGCCGCCGGCCGTGCCCACGTGCACGTTGATCATCGGGAACATTGTGGCCATGTGCGGCGGACGGGGCCCTCCTGGCTGGGACGGCGGCCGCTGCTGCTGCTGCTGTGGCGGCGCGGGCGGCGGCTGCCGGGGGCCCGTCGCCGGTGGCGGTGGCGCCGCTCCGCCGGCCGTCGCCAGACGCGGTATCTCCTCACCGTTCTCGTAGGCATCTAGCGCGATGTTGGCCAGGTGGACCATCTGGCGGGCTTGGAAGAGGCGGGCTCCGCTCGACGAGGTGCCGAGCGTGGGCGCGCCGGTCGGCCGATCAGACACGAACGAGCCCACCAGCACTTGGCCCACCGGCGGGTGGTGATGGTGGTGGTGATGGTGCACGTGGTGGTGGTGCGGCCGTGGCCCGGTGGGCGGCGGCGGCGGCGGCGGCTGCGGGCCACGGCCAGGTGGCGGCCGCTGCACCAGGTGCACTACCTTCTCGTGCACGTCATACTGGCGCAGTGGCTTGTCGTCCTGCAGCACCCGGCCGCAGTAGATGAGCCGCTGCTGGCCGGCCGCGATGCCCACCGTCCCGGCAATCTGCTCTTTGAACGCCTTCACAGTCGCATCATCGGCCACCGAGAACTGGTGGTTGCGCGAGTCAAGTGTCTTCACTGTGATGTTGAGCATTGTGGAGAGCTGGCCACACCAGCCGGACGGCTCCTGCAAACGCCACACACCGGTCAGCTGCCCACACTGCAGTCCACAGCTACCTGATGGAGTTTAGGCACGTGCGGCTGGCAGCAACCCGGTACAAAAGTTTCTGACGGCTAGTTTTGCCAGTGAAAACTCGCTGGCAGGTACTGCTGATGGCAAAAACTGGCGGAAGCTTGCCAATATTCAGGTACCGCAAATCATGTTGCTACAAGCCAGAGGAAAGTATGCAACGATGCAATAGCAAAACGGTTGTAAGTGCATACATGGCAAAATAACATGTCATTTAAGCACCGATAACGTTGGTGCAATGCTTAACACGTGAGCAATACAAGAGCGGCATGAAATGACGGCATAAAGGTGAAATGACGGCAGCGGCATTTTTAGAAATCGAAGTCGTAGTTTCTCCCGTGCCAGCCTTCATGGCTTTCATCCATTGCGGTAGCAGGAGGCAATATAGCATGTCTTTGTAAGAACGAATACCCAGATCTTTAGGATGGAGCAAGGATAGGGTCAGATGTTTTGCATGTGTAAAAACGACACACTGGATACAATCATAACCAACCATTACTTTTATTCCACACGTGAAAGTGGAAGGTGTAAATATTATTTTTGCACTGGCTGCATCCCAGAGGACTCTGATGTCTGCTTCGTTTGGCCATGCGGTGATAGGTAACCAAACGAAGCAGGCATAATTATACGATTCTTTGAAAAACCAAAACAAAGAGGTATACAACAGCCAACATTTAAAAAACCGTTCACTGAGGCTTCATAAATCATTACGTCGCGAAATCAGCTGGCCATTTATGATATATTCCAGTCGGCAGCCAAAGCAGCGTAAACCGCTAAGGAGTTCATCAAACAACGTGAAAAAGATGTCAAAAATCAGATCTATGACACAAAATTAATGATGTATAATTAGCGAAAAACCAGAGGAGCCTTGACCTTTTAATGTCCTTGCCACCCTTAGAGACGATCTCAAAGAGCACTGTTGCCCTCTGTTTTATCTGAAGGCAGCGGTGTTTGCTTGATTATAGTTTTCTCACAACGCCGTTTGATTTTGATCGTAGCTTTACTAATAGTTCTGAGCTAGAAATGGAGGAGCTGTAGCCTCTACCAACTCGATACAAAACTACAACCTTGCATTCGGCATTATGACTTCAGAGTTGTTATGCTGAGATATGGAGATTCCATATACCAGGTGGTGCGATTACAAGACGTGCTAAAGCAAGCATTGCTTGAATTGTCAGTGCTCGGCGTTTGAAGCAGTGCTTATGACCAAGAGTGCGTTGTCATATGCACTCACGGCGTGCCTCGTGGACGTCCTGTCGGCCCTATGACCTTGTCGTCTTTTGACTATTATATTTTGACTGGCGCATTTAATCGCTGTCGACGTTTTGTCCTTCAAACTGTCTGGTTCCGCTTTTTTGTCGGTCGATTTTTTTCCGACTCGGCTTACCACTGTTCAGCATTTGTCCTTCTGCTGTTTCGGCTCGGGATTAATCCCAGTCCACTTTTTTCCCTCATCGCCTGACATCAAGTGTGAATGACCTGTTCTATGCGCCATTATCCACAACAACCAGTCCTCTTTTATCCCTCTCAACTTTTTATAGTTAGACATTTCCTGCGACTCTCTGTTTCCATTTGACTTTTTATCCAGACATCACCACTTACACTTGACTGGAATGGTCAGTGCCTGTGATAGCAGCCATGCAAGAGCTCAGGTGGTGGCAGATGGCAGGACGGACCATGCTGAGCATTGTGGTATGTGACACTTTTGTCTCAAATTTCTCACTTTGACCCAAAATTTCATGCCTGGATGGTGGGGTCCGTGCTTATGCACCACATAATGCTCAATGAGAGCTGTGATCCCTGAAATTCATCCAACAAAAGGTTTCAGCTAGAACTAAAGGATGAGTTTGAAAAGAGTTTATCAAATTTCTTGATGTCAATTATGTCCTTTTACTTGTATGTGTAATAGGGAGTGCCTCACATTGGAAGATATCGAAGAAGGCATCAGATATAATGAAATAAGCTCACCTGTAAATGATGGTACACTTTTTAAGCAGAAAAGCTGCTCCAGACAGCATGATTCTCTGCTTGGTAAACATGCCCCTCAATGCACCATGGTTTGATCACGTCATCGTACCTTGCACAACACTGATTAAGTCAATTGATGGCCACTTATCTATAAATCGCCCCCACGAACATCAGATACCAATGCCTCGACAATTACCTTTTTTGGCCTCGATTGCCACATGGCTTATGGAATGGCGAAGTTTGAATGCTGTCATTATGACATTATGAATGCCAAGGTGAACTTGAAATATCTTCCCAATATACCTCCCTATTTTTGAGGGCTTGTAGCTCAGAAACTACAGGGGCTTAGGTTTCAAGAAGGGCAGAATTGTGAACTGCACTGAAATGTCTTCAGGATGGCTATTTCTGTTCAAAACACAATATAAATGTGGAACACTCCCTCTAATTTTGGGCGGCTGCTGTTGACTTAAAAATGTGAAATGACTTTGTCCTTAACCCAAACCTTATAGCACATAAATTTTGTATTCATTATAAAAAGAGCACACATTGTTCATCCTTTGCTCATGTTTCATTTATTTTTCAGCTATCCTTCAAATTCTGAATATCAGCAGAAAACAATGGGTTTATACATCTGGCAGGGGTGAGTTGATATAGACTCTTCAATATTTTGCACCCATTATTGCACCAGTCAGCTAGGTTGGTAACAAATGTTTTGGTCAGCATATGTTACCATTGCACCCAAAATTTTCAGTCACCTCTGGGGCATCCATTGCACATGTCTCGACACCAAAAGCACATCCAAAGTATTTCCGGTTTCATAGTAGCAACGGTTTTCAGGAACATGGCACGTTGATCCACGCCCACAGCAGAGAGTGGGTGGCGACCGACGATACCGCGGACAGCGCGAGGCAGGCAACCATGTTATGTTAATAGAGCCATACATCATAAGCATATGCTCACAACACCTTGAACAATGTGCCATCATGCTCAGATCAAAACAAGGAACACACTGTTCAAGTTTGGTATCATGAATGGGAATGGTTTAGTATCTATGAGCATGTCAAACTGGAAAAGTTAAATTTTCAAGAGAATTTGACTCTGGACTTAGCTTAATGGGTCAATTATTGACATGGCAGTGTAAGACTTTTTACCAATCACTACAGTTCATTGAGACATGACCATTGTTGTGTTTCCCAAGAGGCTCAATCTTTCTTGGTTTTGAAAATTGCATGGTGCATCTTCCCTTCCTCATCATTCTATTAGTCTGCAATATGAAAAACTGGGACAAGAGTTAGGAATGATCCCACTAACCCCATCATGCAATCACTACTCAGTGTTCCAGAATATCCAAACTACAGATACACAGCTCCAGCTATGAATGTAAATCAATAAAAGACTAACTGCATGAAAAAAACACATGTTTGTATTTGCCATACAGTGCTCTTGCACTGACCCAGACCTTTCAATGTACCAGCAATTTCCTTTTAACAATCCTCTAATGCCACAATTAATGTCCCAGTGGGCTAGGTAAACTCAAGGTGCTCTATTTGTTCAAAGAAAAATGGATCTGTGCTGAAATGAACAAGCATTCAATGAATCTATCCCTTTAATAATATGTCCCTTCAGTGACATTCACAATCATGTTTTCATAGGTCACATTCCACAAAAAATTAAATATGGCAAATAAAGGGCATCACCATTGCAGAAGATACAGTGAACCAATTGTCCTCCCATTACAGCCTGCAAAAGGTGGCAAACCAGTTAATAAGATATCTGAACCTGCTCTGATGATGATGATTGGGGTTTTAGGGCGCGCCAAGTTCTGGGGTCACTTTGCGCCAAATGGGATAGCCAACCACTCTGTTTGGAGCACTGATTGATGATTTTGTGAATGGGGGAGGTGGCCTCCATATTCATGTTCTGATTGGTATCTAAAAAATATTTATTACTCCTATTGATGTTTAAGAAAGGTTAAAATCACACTCAAAGTGCCATCCAGTGTTTTGGATTACATATTTACTTAACCTTTTTGAAAAATATATGATACTTCAAAAATGTCACAATGTACACAAGAAAATCTGGTGGTTTCGAACCGCCACCCTGATTTTTGACCTACGGATATGCTACTATTTTGTGCTGGTTTACCTGTTCAGGAAAAGCAGCAGAAGCCATCAGGAGCAAAAAGCTTTGCATTTACATAATTTTTAGCATATATCTGCCCTGCCTACAAAGCACTTAATCAAGATGTCATGCTTTGCAAGCAGTGACTAACATTGTTTACATGCTAGCCCACAGCAATGAAGCATCAATGGGATGATTGGAGCATCTATCTGTTAATACTTCAGGCAGAGCCACCACCTCAAAATCATCCCCTTCAACCATGTCTCAGTCCATGACCTGGGCACCAGTCAACAAATGCTGATGCCCCGAATTCTGCATGTACTTTGGCAACCCAACTCATCAATAAAGGAGACTGCTGATAAACCCACCAATCTAGTGGCAGTACAAAGTTATGCTGTACCTTATGTCCTCATATTCACAAATTCTCAAGCATATGTCTCCACACACCAGCCCTGTACACACGTTTATGAAAGCACCTTTCATACATCTTTTCAGGCAGGCCACCCATGTTGCCAGAGCAAACTTCGAACAGCTTGATAGGCAAGCAGTAGAAGAAAAGCCATACGCACCCTCGTGTAACTGGAAACAGTCGTTTGCGAGGAAACCGGCGACGACCTGTGCAACTGAACGTGGATCTATGGCGACATAAGATCTGTGGTAAAATTATTGGCCTACAACATCGGTGCGAGAAATGTCGGTAAATGTAGCGCACATATCAGTAATCGTGGAAGGTGTCTATTCTACTGTCAGTATTTTTTGCGCATATTTTCTGGTCACCTGTTGCAAACAAATTCCGTGACCGACTAAGCGTCACTGGGCGAGACATGGCCACCTGTTATGCACTGTGGATCCCTGACCGACAAAGGGGCCTCACCCACTGTGCCAGGGACCCAGACTTATGCAAGCTGTGGCCCCGATCTTGTTTTTCTTGGAAAATGGGCCTCCATGGAAAAATGACTGATTGGAAGGTGGACCCTCAAGCCCATACCAATACGGAGCAGACCGTGCAGTATTGCTGGTGCCTGACCGACAAATAGACCCACATCGGCTCAGGGTGTCCATGATCGATACAAATGGCGCTCTAACTGTCATTTGAGGATCCGTCCCTGGAGGCCGGGGCCCCCGAATAAGACTCCGGCCAGCTTTTTATGCCCTTAGACGCTCCAGACGAGTCCTTGATCGTCGTACCCGGCGGGCCCTCCAATCTCTGCGGGCCTTCTCACTGCGTCTGACCGACTTAAGGCCCCTGGCCAGTACACGGGCGCCGTGGGGTCCCGATCAATTAAATCGCCGGCTCCAGCTTTGTCTCTGCTCGGGAAATGGGCCCTCAGGCCCATGTTACCATGACGATGACTGTGTGTTACTGGTAGTGTCTGACCACCATATAGGCCCTTATCGACTCAGGGGCCCTTGATCAACGCGCAGGGCACTCTACTTGGCATTTAAGCGTTATGCCCTATGAACTGGGGCCCCTGAATACGACCTCCGGCCGGTGTTTCTGACCCTTTGGGGCCGCCAGTCGGGCCCTTAATCGCAGGTCCCGAGGGGCTCAAAGGGCCCGTCGGAACCTTAGGGGGAGGGTCGCGTGCGAATTATTGGACCCTCTGTGTCGGTAAGCGATCCTTTAAGTTCAATGAGGCCTCTGCGTCTATCTGGGACCTACTGCTCCGGCCTGAGGGCTTACCGCGTCAGGGAGGGACCAATGCATGATGCATTCTTCTGCGGCCCTGCTGATCGACCAGGAGCCCTGGCCACCGTGCCTCCAGAAAGGTATCCGGTAGGTACCCTCGGGTGGCGGGTTGAAACGCAAATCCCCTCCAGCCCTTGACCGGGAAGGCAATGGGCCTCCCTAGAGTTCTACTTACTGGGCTCTCTGTACGCAAAAGGCAGGGGGGTTGTTGGTGTTTAATCCAGTGGCCCCTAAACGAAAGCATTCGTCGGTACGATCATATAAATGAAAAACAAATTTGGAGGCCCTCGAAATAAAAGGGGCCAAATCTGGCTTTTTTGGGGTGCTTTTTCACCGGGAGCCCTCTGTTAAGCCGTGTGCCGCTCCCACCACTTCTTACCAAAACTTTAGCCTCTCCCCTGGCATAAGATGGCGGTTGTGGAATCTGAGGCCGGCTCTGCTCGGGCTGAAGTCCTTAGATGGGCCCTTTCCGGACCTGAGATACCTACTTTTCAGTCTAAAACGTGTCATTTCAGGATTTAAGAAGGGCTCCTCTTGAGTCCACGATGGGCCCTTTCCAGATCTGGGACGGCCCTTTTTTCCTCTCGATGGGCCCCACTCAGACCTGAGGCGGACCCCTTCTGAGTTTACGGTAGACTTGTCCCGATAAGAGACGGGCCTTTTTGAGTCTGCAATGGGCCCTTTCCAAACAACAAAAGGATCCTTTCCGTGCCTGGAACTTTTTCTTTTTTTTTTTTGCCTTGAAATTGATCCTTCCCGGACCTGAGATGGACTCTCTACGCTCACTTTGATGACACACAATAAACGAATCTCGTCCACAAATCTACCGGGGGCCCGTTTGGGTCAGCTGAATTATGGGGAAAGATAGTTTTGAACCTTATCTCATACATGGAGACAGTTCGCACCTCGGATACACCGCGCACTGGCTCTAAGCCTACGATGGGCCCACTCCAGACCAGAGATGGGCCCTTCCCAGCCCCAAAAAGTGAGATAGGCCTTTTAAGAGCCTCAAGTTCTTCGTTTATCAGCCTATGCTTGGCACCTACCTGGCTTGAGACGTGCCGTTTCTGAACTTATGATGAATTCTTTCCAGACATGAGAGGGCCTTCTCTAACCTTACGATGGGCCCTTTCACCAACCGTAGGTGGGCCCTCTTTGAGCTTACGATGAGCCCTTTCCAGACCAGGAAGGGACTGTGCCTGGAAGTGACATGAGTATTTTCCGTCTTGAAATGAGCCATTTCCAGCCTAAGACGGGCCCTTTGCGGACATGAAACCATTTCTTTCTGAGCTTGGGATGGGCCCTTGCCGGACCAGACATGAGCCCTCTACGCCTGCTTTGGTGACACAATAAACAAGTACTACCACGCACTTGGGGGTCTCTTCTGGGCCACCTCAAGCCTCAAAAGATGGGGAGGCAGTTTTCCTCCACTGCTCCCCTCCCCCGCCGGATACGCCGCCACTGATTCTCGTACTCTCAAAACTCTCCGAGTTTTGCGGCCAAGCCATTTGGCCAACTGATAAAACTTACTCCAATTTTCATATTTGCCCTCGGACATACAGCACAACGACTGCTCACAAAACAGTGCTGCCTTCTGTTCCGGTGCTGATGACATCAGGTCAGCCAGCAGGTCACAAACGCTACGAAATGTTAGCGTTGACCGCTTACTTTTGGGTTTGCAGTTGCTAAGCCTAAGGATTTGTTACTGCGAGGTTCTGCACGTTTCACAGTTTGGCATACTGTTACCAATTAAGCCGCCTTTCGATTGCATGGGAGAACGCTCCACAAACTCCACAAGTAATGGCGGTTGCATAGGTCTTCATCCACCAACGGATAATTGAATTCCGGGGGTGGAGACTCTACCGGCTGCCATGCTTGGCATGGTCCGTCCTGCTTCTTAACATGTCACAAGAGCTGAAACGCAACCGCCATCACCGGCCGCAGGTCACCCCATTCAGGCACAAACTGCGATCACAGACTCGAACCTGTCCCGCAACGGCTGGGTGAATCGGAAGGGGGCCGCACTGACCACCATCCGTTGGTGGGCCAGAATCGGAAGAGAGCCGCATTGGCCACTATCCGTTGGTGGGTCAGAGTCGGAAGAGAGAATCGGAAGAGAGCCGCATTGACCGCCATCCGTTGGTGGGCCAGAATCGGAAGAGAGCCGCATTGACCACCATCCGTTGGTGGGCCAGAATCGGAAGAGAGCCGCATTGACCACCATTCGTCGGTGGGCCAGAATCGGAAGAGAGACGCATTGACCATCACCCGTTGGTGGGTCAGAACCTACACAAGCAGTACTACTTAATGTGGACACTGGTGCCAGGTTTCAGCCATTTTGCGCCATATTTCCACCAGCAGCGTTTTTTTTTCATGCCATCGGAACGTGGACCAATTCGAAATAGGACGCCAAACTGCTGAGCCAGTAGAATCTCGCTGCGACCAATCCTGAGCAATTGCAAGCCCCAAAACGCAAACAGTTCAAGGATAAAATTGCGCGACCGTGCTTGACCTGATCTGACGTTATGTTGTAAAAATACAGCTATATCCAAGTATAGGTGACAAAAGGTCCATAGTTGTCAACTGGAGCAGCGTTAAGTAGCTGTAAGTTACAACACCTGCATCTCCGATTTTTATATAGATATCCTGGTGCAAGTGATCTCAGAAACCTTGCGAAAGTTCACACAAACTCTGACCTAAAGCGTCAACCAGCTGGGTCAAGCCCATGAAGTGCATGTGAAATGAACGTTTACGCCCTGGTTTACATTCCTATACACTCGTTTACACCATGGTGACATGTACCTACCGCATATATTTGATGAGGGGGTTCATAGGTAAGCTAGTCCAATTTTAGCGCTTTCCCTTGACAAACTAAATATTTTCGGGTCCGTGCGCCAACTCGATATATTTTTCGACTGCGCATGATCCTCACTTCGGACGCCGTAAATGTACAAATCGCCACTCCAGCCTGCCCCAAGCATTCAGTGATAAACTTTTGGGAGGGAGGAGGGGTGCGAGTGCGAGTTCGGCCGTGAAAAATTTTAACAAAAATCTGACGAGTGTGTTGTACTGGCAACTGATATATCAGTGCTACAGAATCCACACTATCGCAATTCTTAAGTTTGGTTGTAGTTATGTTTTCCAAGCTGCCGCATTATGACCATCACTCTCTGTGTAGGTCAACCGCCGTTACCTGTGCCCTGTAAAGGGATGGTTTGAACAAAGAACATTATACCTTCCGATGTGAGATTTCCCTTGCCGGCAGATGGCGGTCCCTCACTGGCATCGTTTGCGCAAGGTTACACCTTCCGCGGACAAGAGTTTTTTTTTCAAATTGGACGCCGCATCTTCGCAAATTCCCGCTCCAGCCGGCCCGCCGGCACTGTGCGACAGGCACGCTGTCGGGGGTTAAATCAAACAAGTTGAAACCAAAATTTTACCAACGTGTTATAGCGATAGCTGATAGCCCTGTGTCAGTGTTGTCGATTGCACAACGTTACAATAATCCAGTTTGATTGTAAGGATTTTCTCGACCACCGTATTATGGTCATCACTCTACGTGCTGGTCGGCAGCCGCTGGTTCTGCGCTGTCAAGGGGTGATTTGAACAAAAGAGCGACGTCGGCCAATGCGAGATTTCCATTGGACCCCTGATTTACATTTCCCGGCCGCCGCCGTACAGTCGTGTGCGATTTCATTTTCCACTTTCGGTTGGCGCGACCATTTGCGGTTCACGTGCCCCTGGCTATGACTTGAGACTATGATAATTACCTGGTGAACCGTTTCTAATCCACTGATGATCCACCTTTCCTCAGTCAACATTTCGCTGAGGCGCCGTCTGTGGGCTTGAACTGCCACGTTCGGGCCACATGCGTACCCACCACTAAACAGGCTTGGTCCGGCAGCTTAAGCAGGCAAGTAAGGGTCACCGGACAAGGGGGAATTGGCAAACCACCGCTTGTCACCGGAAAGCCGCACGAGGGCCACTGACCTCCCATACGGACTGGTTGCCGCATCAGGGTCACGTTTGGTACCTTTCCAGCAGACGCTGAATTTGGCGCCGTCCTAAACGGGCACTATTGGCTACTTCACTTTGGCTGCCCGTCCGGTCCCCATTTTCAAATGTCTATTGGGGCGAGAAGTTCCGTCATTAACACGGCGGTTGAACTGCGATCAGTTGGGATGCTTTTGCATGAATGCTAGCTGAATTCTAAAGCTACACAGTTAATGCGTCGTAGACAGCAGATGAAGTAAGTACTTTGCGTAACCCGTGTCACTTGTTCGGGGCATGCGTATGCAAAGAATGATAACCAAAAGTATCATGGTATGTTAACAGGCGCTCGGGCGGTGGTGGGGTGAATTTGACCCCTGCTCCGAAGGTATTTCCAGCATGATTTCGAAGGCGCGACGTAGCCGCGCCAGACTTTGCATAATTTTCTGCAATTAAACAGCGAATGTCTTGATATAAAACAACCATACGTGCTTTGCAAGTTCGCTGACCTGTGGCAGGTCAAAGTCAGGTATTGCCTGTCAGCGAAGGTCATTTCTAGTGAATCGTTCAATTTCATGTGACAGCGAAGTGTTAGACAAAGCCATGCATCTCTGAGACAGTTTCTAAGGTAATATACTGACTAGATTTAGAATTAAAGCAAGTAACATTGACCTATGGTCAGGTGTGGAGGCCAAACCGAGGTCAAAACTAACCTGCTTGTTTTGGAGTGTTTGCATGATGGGGTAGTGTATAGTGCTCATTACGAATTTATTCATGGCAGGGAACGTAACAGACATGTTTCATGGACTTTCCAAAGGTCAGGTTAGGTAACTGACCTAAAATGAATCAGGCCAGCACTTTGTTTTTGAAAACATACCGCCTAGTGTAATCCCTAAGGCCCAAATAAACCAAAAAACGACAGCAATTTCGTTGTTTTTTTGGCCACCTTGGTCTTTTAAATGTCAAAGTCACTGGCCTTGAATGAAGACCATTTGAACGTTTGTGTAGAGCAGGTATCTAAGTTCACGGCAGTTGCGTGAATATGTCTGGGGGCACTTTGGGACCAATACGAAGTTTGACCTTATACTTTATTTGGCCCAAAGATGATGGCCTGGAAACCTCAAACGAAAAAACACAAACAAACAAACACTTAAATGACGTGTGTTAACGTCTTAGGCAGCATCACTGGAAATCTCGTTCGGTAAATGTGGGCGATGCTTATTCTAGTAATATTAGTTTTCAGTCTTTCCAATGAACTCACCGATGTGAGGTGAAATAACACCACCGCACATTCAGCGGACAATAAACTACACATCTCACTTCCATTGGAGGATGGCCATCTACGCTGACTAGGGGATTGGTGTTGACATGAAAAAGTTGACACCAGCCAAATACCACTTACCCTAAGTCCCAATTATCAGCTGAATATAGACGTCTGTCACCAAGAGGAAAGTTGGATTGATGTGCTGAGGACATCACACCTCTCATAAGCCCCAGGATAAAAAAGCAAAATGCAGTGCGCAAATAAATGAAAAGAAAGTGTTCTACGCGGGGGCTGTCTCACGCCCAATGCGCATACGCCTCTTGACCTGAAAGTTATGTTGACCTTGATAAAAGAAAGGAGGGCCTCCAGGTCTTAGTTTTTCTACATTGTGAGTTGAATGTTTTGATGTTGAGTTAACGACCACCAATATGCCAGAAGAAGCTGGTTAAACAACGTTGTAGCGCTACATTGCGATTATATTGTCGGTGCTCAATACTTTGAGCAATACTCATCCATAGGAATGTATTTAATAAAATCCTTAACAGCGATTACATTGACTCATCCATTATTGAAGATGAGCACAGCCCGAAAAATTGCGAACATTGCGCTGCTTAGCATTACAGCTTTGTTTAACCAGCACTCCGTCGCGTATTGATGATCGTCAACTCAACAATCAAGTCAGCTCACTATACAATGTTAACTCAAGCTTTCAACCCATGATTATTATAATGGGTCAGTGTGAGTTTAGGTTTTGGCTCGGATGCTTCCGGATATGGCTGTGGCAGACACGCGCGCCCATTGGGCAGATGCTCAGCATAACAGTAGTAACTCAACATAAGTATGAGCCAAATGCCAACGCCGTCCTTGATCTGACTCTCGAACGTAAAACCTTCATAAATTGTTACTCAACAGTGATAAAAAGCTTATCGAAAGCATTCCATGCTTCTGACAAGCCTTTGTTTTGTGTTGCAGTATGAATCAGGGGGGGGGGGAGATGTCACCCGTCCTATGTATCTTTAACGAGCCTTTGACGCAAATTAAATGTACAAATAGCCATTCTGTTTCCATCAGAATAGCGATTACATCAGCCTCTGTGTGATGTGTCGCACATGCAGGCTCTATGTTCAGGCGGTGCTATAGCTCCCGTCAGATAAGCTCTATATGGCGGCAGCTGGTCTGATAAGATATGGCTGATCGGTGGCCGAAGCGGGTGAGACCTGCACCAGTACGGCTGTGGTCCAGTTGCTTGCGTTGGTGGCTGCGTGTGTGGGTGGCTTCGTGAAGGGCAGTTCCGTGATTGTGTTGCTCATCTAATCGGCGCGCTACGGTTGCATCGCGAGGTTGTGACCAATACTTGTACTGGACGTTTCACAACCCACACCGAGGCCTGGCAGCGTTGTTTGGCGAGCTCAGTCTGTGGCGCACCCGAGCTAACCCGGCCCCTGGCGGTAGGGGCATGATACCGGCCGTCCGCGCTGCGCCGTCCCCATGAGACTTCTGCCGCCGCTACTGCTGCTGCTGCTGGTGCTGGAGCACGTGCAGCCGGCGACAGCCCAGCCGCGTCTGCTGGGGTGCCGGGACGTCGCTGTGGATGAGCTGTTGCCGCGCGCCGCCTTCAGCGCCTTCGGCGACAGCGACAACTGCGCCGCTCGCTGCGGCCAGCAAGCAGCGCTGCTGGCCGCAGTCAGCGCCAGTTGGTGCTTCTGCCTGAATCAGCCGGCAGCGGCGGCCAATCTGACGTCCCGCTGCGATGGCCCGGCGCCGTCCGGCCGCGAGATGCTGCGCTTCTTCTCCCTTCCGGGGCCGGACGTCGGCGTGGCGATGCCGCCGACGGACGTGATCGTCGGATCAGTGCGCCTGACGTTCGTCCGCTGCGCCGCCGGGCCCGTCTCCACCCAACCGGCCATGCTGGATCAATGCGTGCACAACTGCGCCTCTAGCCACCTCAGCTTCATCGCTCTGGGTCTACTGTCGTCAGGGAGCGACACGTTCTACAACTGCAGCTGTGGCAGCGAGGACGGCTTTGGCGCGACGCTGCCGGCAGCGCGGTGCTCCGCGCGGTGCTGGCGCGGCCAGGAGGAGATGGACATGACGTGCGGCGGCCCGGGCGAGGCGTTCAGCGTGTACCAGACGCAGCAGGACGGGCCGGCCTCGACGCCGGCCGCGCGCGTCACTACCCAGCGCTCGACGCTCGGCCAGCACTGCGGCACACCCGATCGCTGCTCGGGACTGGGCACACTTATTAACGACTCGTGCTACGTGTCCATACCCCTGAGCAGCATTCCCGGTGCGTTGTGAGCGGCAGCGGCCGGGGATGATCCCCAGTTGCGAGCAGTCAGCCCTGCCGACCGCGGCTCTTCGGCAGCTGGGGCCTGACGGCCTGGCAATCTGAAAACACACAAACGTCTCTCGCTGATGACGATCTCGATTTAGATGATCGATCTGCTCTGGTTTAGCTCAATAACAACACTCCTCCTATATTGCCGTATGCGTATCTCATTGGTTGACCATCACGCAGCTTACTCGAGTAATATCACATTCTTATGTGATATACTAGAGTATTATCACATTCCTGTATCACGCGGTCGTGATTTGTATCGTTCAAGGGCTTACTTCTTCCATCCAGATAGCTCGATGGGTTAGTGGGTCTACATTCCGATTCGCCAGCCCTTGTTGGAGCGGGTTCGGATCGCTTTAAGCATTCGCTATTTCCCCTGATTACGATGGCCTATGGCAGCTTCCCCGGCAAATGGCAGCAGGTGTGATTTGACCGGCTCCCTTCTCAGCCGCGCTGGCCAGATACGAACTTCTCAGCCGTGCTGGTCAGATACGAACTTCTCAGCCTTGCTGGCTAGATACGAACTTTTGTCCAATCCGCAAACTTTCGCCCCGAACGAACTTCGGTTCCGTGCTCAAGCTGTGTCCGTATTCGAACTTAAGCAACGAAACTCCTGGGGCATGAGAGCAGCACGCCCTACATCTGGGGCTGCGGCACCGCACCAAAGAGAGAGAGAGGGAGGGAGAGAGAGAGAGAGAGAGAGAGAGAGAGAGAGAGAGAGAGAGAGAGAGAGAGAGAGAGAGAGAGAGAGAGAGAGAGAGAGAGAGAGAGAGAGAGAGAGAGAGAGAGAGAGAGAGAGAGGGTGGGGTGGGGGTGGGGATAAGATGGCAGTGGGGTTAGGGGTGGGGGTTGGATGGGGTACATTTGAATCTCAAGTGTACATTTGGCCCTCTATTTGCGACCCATTTGACTGCCAGTTAAGCGACCTGGCATGGTCACTGATGTGAATCGTCTTGTCCGAGACTGACTAGGCTAGATACGCGCTGGGTCCCAGAGAGTACCACTGTTTGTCACTGTACCACTGTTTGTCTTTGCTTGTCAGGAACGAACCATGACAGCTACCCGGACGCCAAAAGCAAATGTCAAGCGCGCGGCACCGACTGGCGGGTGTGGGCAGTCGACACGGAGGCAGAACTAGCCGCCATCTACAATAACTTCCTTCCGAACTGCGCGCAAGGTAAGCAACGCGCGTGCCGACCGGTACCGGGCCGGCATGGAGTGCCAGTTCGGTGCGCAGTACCGGGCCGGCATGGAGTGCCAGTTCGGTGTACGGTACCGGGCCGGCATGGAGTGCCAGTTCGGTGCGCAGTACCGGGCCGGCATGCCTGTCTCTCTCTCTCTCTCTCTCTCTCTCTCTCTCTCTCTCTCTCTCTCTCTCTCTCTCTCTCTCTCTCTCTCTCTCTCTCTCTGCATATATATATATATATATATATATATATATATATATATATATATGCATATATATCTCTCTCTGCATATATATATATATATATATATATATATATATATATATATATATATATATAGGCATACAGGCCCAGTACCACACGTTTGCACGAGTCATGTGTTCGGCTTCGCTTTGACTGCTAAACAGCTTGAAAATTCTATTGAGCCTTACTTCATAATGTTGGGACATGAACCAGCGTTACACCGTTGGTGACGGTCCTTACCGGCGCCAAGGACGTCGCCTCTGCACGCAGCGAACCGAGCGGGAACCACTTATTGATTTCTGTAGCTCCACACTATACCGTTCCGCGCATATCTTTGTATATCCACATCTTTCTGCCTTTAGCCAGACACACAGCACAGATGGCACGGGTAAGGGTCAAATTTGCACACGCAAAATGTTCCTCCTTTGAGACAATCGGGGGAAATAAATCATCCCGTTTCGACACCGGTGTCTGTCGCAGCTCTCGCGAGAAGCCGCAGGCGTTGGCGTATACCAAGGAGACACTTCTCTTGCATGCAGAAGGAACAAGTACAAAGGTCTAGCCGTCAAAACATGCATCAAAAGTCCAAACAGCAATGAATTTGGCATGACCGCATACGCACGCAAATTAGTTCCTCGTGCCGAATCAGTGATAAACGGCAAGCACATGTTGATAGAGATCCGCATTATATTGTTGTGATCCACATGATATTATATGACGTAAGCTTGTGCTGAATGACCTATATCGTTGATATCCAGGAACCACCTGGAGCTAACAATAGGATGTGGTCATGTTTAGAAGGGTGGCTCCACCAGCAAGTATAACCAAGATGAAAAGGGGATCGGAGTCGAACGTGTCCGTGCTTTTGTAATACCCAGGTTTGTGCATGTTGTATTTGCGGTGCAGCGCGACCCACGACACGCGTTCAACGATGGCCGCCCCGATCATTTTCCTCCTGCGCGACCCGAACCGTCCCAACCTCAACGCTCGGTCACGTGACCTACCGCCGCCGGCCACGGGCGGACGTCTGTTGACCCAAGGTCCGACTGCGACCGACCGCGGCAAGCCCTGCGCGCCATATGCACCTCTAGCCTCACGTTCTACAGATTTGCTGTGAATATTCCAAATGATGGTTGCGACAATTTCGTTCCGCTGGTCGGTTCCGCTCGCATTCCACTGGTCTGACGGTCCAGTGTAAACGCAGAACGATTCAACATTCGTAAGTCGTTGCTGAACAACTGCTGCCTAATTCTGATCGCACATCAGGGTGAGTCTCCTTTCCCCGCTTATCGAATTGACGGAAGGTGAGGATGTGACGGGTAGATTTCCTGACCTCGTGCTCTTTTGCTTTAATCGATGTTTTTCGCAGTGTCCACTGTGTCGTGTGATAGCTTGGAATGCGACCAGCGGTGAACGCGACCAGCAGTGAACGCGACCAGCGGCGTGGTGCATGGGCCAAAGCAGATGGAAAGCTCGATGGCCGCGAGTGCCGGTCTAAAGGCCTGATTGCGGATGCTCTGACGGTGGTGACCAGTCGTCTGTCGCGGGCGGACGGCAGTGACGGTCTGACGGCCTGATTGCGGATGCTCTGACGGTGGTGACCAGTGGTCTGGCGCAGGCGGACGGCAGTGACGGTCTGACGGCCTGATTGCAGATGCTCTGACGGTGGTGACCAGTGGTCTGGCGCAGGCGGACGGCAGTGACGGTCTGACGGCCTGATTGCAGATGCTCTGACGGTGGTGACCAGTGGTCTGGCGCAGGCGGACGGCAGTGACAGTCTGACGGCCTGATTGCAGATGCTCTGACGGTGGTGACCAGTGGTCTGGCGCAGGCGGACGGCAGTGACAGTCTGACGGCCTGATTGCAGATGCTCTGACGGTGGTGACCAGTGGTCTGGTGCAGGCGGACGGCAGTGACGGTCTGACGGCCTGATTGCAGATGCTCTGACGGTGGTGACCAGTGGTCTGGCGCAGGCGGACGGCTCGGTCCGGTGGGATGGCTGGGATTCGGCAGAACCGGCCGGCGACTGGCTGGTGAAGCAGGTCACTGGAACGTCCTCTGCCGGCAATGTGATTATCATTGAGGACATCCTCAAACCATACGGCAGTGAGACGCTCAAGTATTCCCCGCCAAACGCACTGCCGGAGCTTGCGGTTTTCGTCGTCTGTGAAGCCGGGCTCCTGCAGACAACGACCGATTCCAGTAAGTGTCGGAGGGTGCCTTGTGAGGAAACATTCGTGGACAATGGTGACGTACTTGATCCACCAGCCTCACGACATAATATGCAGTAACCACGGAGCGTTTACCAACATTCTGAGGGCATAGGCATTCAGAGAGTAACGATCGGAGAGTCTGAAAAACGGGGTCGTGATCGCGGAGTTGTCCTCATGTAACGGAGTCATCAAGATAACCTCGCGTCTATTACGTAATCACTGAATGATATCATGTATCAACGGCCGACCAATCTCGAATGTCGCGTATTTGCTACTTAGTGCCCATCCTCGCCGTGCAAGGAGCGTAAGCCCTCACCCCTCCTGGAATAGCTTGAAATACCCAGAGCATGCTGCTTAAGTTACCACTGTCTTAGTTTCAGACTTGTCCACTAGTCCACGTTCCACTTGTCCACCTTCAAACCCCGTCAGGGTAAAAGCATCCTTGCCCTCCAATCCTACTTCATTCCCAGTTCTCTGAAAACGAACCCTACCAAGACTACCCCTGTTCTAGTCGCCACGCCCCAGACCATAAAATATTACCCTTCCATTTTAACGTCTAGAACTTAAAGTTAACCCCCTAGCCGTGCGTGAGGTTGCCGGGAGTGACCTTCGATCATACTCTATCCTGGAAGGTGATATCCGGATTAGTTAAAAAGTGTAACCCCATCCTGGTCTGTCTAGACAAACTTTGTCATGAACTCACACTCGAAGCCCGCAAACTCCCTATCCAGGCCCCTGTTTTCCTCTACAGCCTGTACTGTCTATCAGGTTGGCACGGGGCCACCACTTGGTGTCCTGGCCGGATTTTTGTGAATTTCGCAGCCAGGACCGTCTCGGGGAGGCGGAGTCGAGACCATATTTCACCGGCTGTAAGTTCGCTGGGCTGGCGCGGAACCAGCGGCCTTGTTACACGCCGCGAACACATTGATGTTTTCAAGGCTCTTAATGACCCCCGCGCCCCGATGGTGATCCGGTCGCTGTCCACCCCTCGGACTGTTGTGAGTGAGCTCATCACAAGGTCGGCGGTGCCCGTTGCCTTGGAGCTACCCGCTCTCCGACTGTGCCTGTCGCGAAGGGTGTTTTCATATCGTGCGACTTCATCCTGGAACCACCTGCCGCCGGCCGTTATGACCTCCGGGAGCCGTGCTGCGCTCACATCTTAACTTGATCGATGCGAAAAAGACGGAATTGTTTGACTTTGTAGAACTCTTGGCGTGTCACCATCACCTTCGTTTTTATCGTAAAACTTGTAACCCATTGACTCGAATCAAACACTTATCCACACATATTATATATACATATATACACGTATGACTATATATGTCATACGATATACATGATATCGTGGCAACTACATGACATGACACGTCATGGCATGACACACATCTTGCCACTTTCGGTACAGATTGAAGATTATCCCTGATATGCCACGAGTGATGCCCATTTTTCTTGGTCATGCTAGCTGTTGTGTTTTGCGTTTTAACACCAAGAAACGTCACTACGTGGGTCACAAAATGCAGGATATAAAGCAGCGATGCTATCTCTAATGAGTGTGCCGAAATCATGGGAATCGAATGACGCACCTCAAAGCGGGCTTCAGGACCCGGGCCCTTAGATCACATGAAATTTTGAGCGCTTTTCTGTCCGATGAAGGTGCTTCTGTAGCAGGGAGCCAAGGGAAGAATGTCACAAAACCCATTTTGAGGGGCGTCCATGAACCCATATGAATGTGCAACGCTAATCCTTGACTAAGACACCCTAAACTCTGCCTGAAGGCGCTCTGAGCCCACTTGGAGCAGCGTTCTCCAACCTAAAGAAATAGGAAAGCAACGAGTGATGTGTGGACGGATCAGGATGTTATGGAGAATTAACAATTTGGAACACGAGGGCTAAGTTTTAGCCTTTTCCATGACATCCACATCTCGATCGATGATAGTGGATGCGTTTCTTAATTTAATTTATCACTTCAGATCTTCATCAACAGTTCCTCCTAGAATTTTCATTAAAACTTTGCCTAGGTATTTGGCAGTAATTCAATTAAACTTGAAGGCTACCAGCCTAGGTTTTAGCATATACTTGATAATGTGTTTTAGACGCTTTCAGAACTAAACGATTCATCTGAAACCATTTTGTAATGTTTCGAACACCAGGCCGATTTCAGCATTAGTTGAACAGAACTGTGTGTGTTGATGATTGCAGTGTCATCAGAGAAAAGATAGGCATCTGCATTGTTACAGACGCCACACAGGTGGTCGTTAAGGTCAAGGTTGATATGTAAAGGTTAAACAACTTAACACTGTTGGACACCCATATTTATTCTATTTTCTTTAGACAGAAAGGTCGCGATTTGATGTTATCTGGAATCTGTTGTTGAGATCAGAATGAATAGTTCTGTGGAGTGGGCATCTTATTCCAATGACATGCAATTTGGTTTGTGCGATATCATAACTAACTGTAGCAAAGGCTTTCTAAGACTGAGGTCAAGACAACGTGTCATTGGCATTCGTTCCATGAAGACGAGAACTCCAAACCTAGGTAGAGGTGAAGTCCCAAACTAAAGCGAAAGGGCGCCTTTGCCCCTTTGGGCTCGACGAGGTCAACCCCAAGAACGCGAAAAAGCAGGAAGCATTTAAACGGAAGCGAGGGGAGTCTCGAGGTGTCGTTTGATGTATGTTGTAAAGGATGAGGCATGAGGTAAAAGTTCTATTTTGCCATAAGGCATGACTGACAGGTTTGAGGTCATTGCAGGTTTTTTCTGTGCCTAAGAATAACTGCCTGGGAGGCAGTCTTTCCCATTCATTATTTTCCATCGTATAACCGACCTGGGTTGGGCCTAACAGTGATTTAGATTTCAGTGTTAGTTTGTCTATCCCGGTGGCTCAGTTGGTTGGAGTGCCTGCCTTCCGATCCACTCATTCGTGGCGGGGTGGATTCGAGTCGCTTTAGGCGCGCGCTATACCTAAACAGGTGTGGCCTGCGGCCAGTGGCAGCGACGACGTTAAATATCAGTTGACGTCAGTGGACAGGACGGACCGTCCGAACATTGTGGCACGTTCAGCTTCTGCAACCAAATTCTGCCGTTGCCCTGGCATTGAGCCATCGGCAGGGGTCAGGGGTCAGTGGTCGGACGGTAGGCGTCAGGGGTCACAAACATCACTGCTTAGCGTAAACCCTGATCCCAGAAATCCATGAATTCAAAAAGTTTGGATTGAGTTTTGAAAAGAATCAATGATAGAACTCCGGCTGAAATTATGTAGGTAAACCGTTTTGTTTCTGGACGACGTATTTGAAAGCGTAGCAACAGCACATACCTATGGGGTCGGCAAAGACCAGGCAGTTCTATATCTTATCTCTAGTGACACACGGTACAACTAGCCACGTTTATATATGCCAATCAGGGGTTTTCAAATTGTCGAAACTGTGAGGGAAAGCCCGAAAACACATCAAACCGTGTCGAAATGGTGCTAGCGCAGCCAGAACTTAGTCCAGCTATGATGACGAAGACATATGGCGTCCATAATATACAAATACGTGTCACTTAATTTCAAACAGCTTGGATTTAAGTGTAAATATGAGGGATGTGGCAGCTTGACCAGAGTTCGTGCCGGGTTACTATGTTTTATATGGCGGGTGGCCGCATTTGACAGATTTGTGGGAATGGTGCGCTGAAACGATTGATTTACAGCCAGTTTCACACCTTTAGGGTCATATTTCGATGTATGCTCATGCATGCGTCATTCAATGCGTGTAATGATAACGCTTGGTAGTCGCACTGAAGCATTGTCAAGGAATCAAAGAACATCGTCTTAATTCATTTCGAGCCCAAACTGCGCCGCCAGCACCTCGTAACAGCACTACACTTCTTCCCTGCAGTCGTGCCGCCATCGCCATGACAACGACCTCGCGCCCCTTTGCTGATGCGGATAAAAGAACGTCTGTGATTGGTTCAGCGGACAAGGGCTTGCTACTGAGAAGCACACCGGTGGGAGTTTGAACTGTTGCGTCGCATGGATCATGTGATGCTCTCATTCCCACAGCCAAAGTGCACCTCGAAAAGGGCCACTATGGCGAACGCCATAGCGAAATTAAAGTCATCGTATGATGTTTCGTTTGATTCCCCGGACAACCGCTTCATGTTCGTATTCTCTTTTTTTGTCTACGGAGAGCGTTTCAAGTCTTTGTAGCATTTATTACACAAACATTTTGACACATTAGTGCGCTGCAAACGTAACACAACAAACACGATGGAAACGCAAGCTAGATGAAATGTGTTACTTCTATAGTGGTGAGCAGGGAGCCAAATGAAATTTCCCCACAGAGTCAGCTGCTTAAAATCAAAATTCCGAGCTATTCAGAAGGATTTTAAGAAAACCGGTCCTAGTGATCACGTCGTACACGTCTAATGTAACAACAAGCGAAAAGTACAAACAGGGTGGGATGTTCCCTTCAAACTGTACAGTGAGGGGGACTGGAAAGGAAAGTGACAACCCAGCTAGGTGATCATCGGATCGGGCCAAACAATATTTTGCCTTTTGATCCAACAAAGGAACGACGCATCTGATCTCAACGGTACGCAGTGGAGGAGAGTAGTGCGCCTGGCGTGGTCACGCGAATTCTGTTTTCCTTTTCGTGTTGTTCGCTCTTCTTGTGTTTTTAGTAACGATCCGTCCCTTCGCGACGGAACTGGCTCCAATCTCCTCCGTCGTATGCATGAAAAATTGTCATGTACGCTGTACTCTCGTGGCCATCAGGATGGAGACGCATATGGGCGGCCAGGCCGGAGACAGGGTGCTGAATGGTGCCACCAGAAGCCCATGGTATCGGGTACCCCTCCCCCCACCACCAACAGCACTCCCCGACTGTTTATTCAGCTCTCAACATCGGCAGCGTCCTGATGGCTGCTGCTGGCGACAGCTGGTCACCACCGGTCGCCGCTCGGTCAGGCAGGGTGGGTCGCCACCGGTCGCCGCTCGGTCAGGCAGGGTGGGT